ATGAAGTGCAAGGAACACGACCTTGTGTTTCAGCTGCATACAGGCGGCAGGACCCTGCACAGACAAATTCTGCACATGCATTGTAGTGCATCCCTTGGCAATATCTTCACGGGCCTTCCTGAACTTTCATGAGAAAAGCTCGGAGAACGGGGCAGCTACAGTGACCGGATTCATCAAACCAAGCTCGCCGCTCGCTGTTCAGTTCAGCTCAGGCATTATCAGCGGCACTCTGCAGAGCATCCTCAGGGCTCAGAAACATATCTTTGAATTGGTGTTCCTTGGCAACAAATCGGCTTAGGTGACCCCAACGCGCAATCTCCTGCAAATGCTCGCAGCTCATGCAGGCGAGCCGCGCCGGTTGTGGTCCGCCCTACCACTCCAAATTTGCGACCGTCACAGCAGCCGTTTGCCGGATGAAGTTCTACGGATTGTTTTGTCAGACCTGGACGGCAAGTTCAACCAGGCACCTGTGGGAGGCACTGCCAGGACGACATGCCAGACATGTCATGAGCCAGATGGGCCGTTTTCCTTAAGCCTTAAGCAACGTCGAGCACCTCAGAAAATCCGAAAGATGCTCTAAAGATGCATTTGATTTTAAAGAGCTCAGAAGCACGCTTGGGGAAGAATTCGAGTTCAGTACTAGGATTCTCAAGTGCTAGGCTTAGCTGGCTCGGAAGACCCGGGCATGTGGAAGTCCTCGGCCGGGGAACTTTGCCAAGCCAGTCATTGCTAGAAATCTTCAGAGCTTCGAAGATTCGAAAGCTTGGTTGAGGGCGGATGGGGCTTCGAGATTCTGCTTTCGAACTGCTTTGGGTTGAAAGCTGGAGAGTGGGGAGCATGGCATAGCATGGCCGTTCGGCCCGAGGCCGAAACGATGAGTCCTCCCCAGTCTTCCCACAGCGCGCATTATTGGATTAGTTGGCATCGGATCATACTCCCCTCTCGCCCTTCCGTCCTGTGCCCCCTGCCTGTAGAATTGCGATACAGCGCCGTAGCGCTCTCAGACGGCACTGCGCCGCTGGCCGATGGCTGCGCTCTTGCGTTGCAGATTGGAAGGTGCAGTCCATCCTCTTTGCATGCGCAGGCGGCTTCTCGTGTAAGTTCCAAAGCCTTGTCAGACATGATTCGTTTCTGGCACGAGACTTCCGCCAAGCGCGCTGTCAGCCTGTAAATAGTAGTGACATGCATTGGCTCAGAGATTCCTTCGAGTGCCATGTACAGATCCTTGCCGGCCACGGCATTAATTTTGTTGCTCAAAGGAAGCAAGCTCAGCAGGACGGGGGATGACGGACATGTGTAACCAAAAAATCGCGACCGCTGCATGCATGGCATCTTGGGCGGCTCTCGAAGACCAAGCCTTTCCTAGGTGTGGCCGACAGACTTCACATCGGCTCAAGATGAGAAGCCAGGTTTCACAGGATTGGCGTCTTGCAGAGACGGATGCAGGAGGATGGCAGTGACGGCACTCCTTCCCACAACCTCGAGGCCAAATTGGAGCTTCGAAGTCAGCTCGAGGAGGCAACGTCCACCACCACCGCAGCACCACTGAGTGTGACTGATCCACAGCCGTTTTCGTTCAGTGCTGGCAGTGCGGATGGAGCAACCACTCTAGGAAACTTGGATGGCTCGAAGACTCTGTCTCCTTCGCCGCGCTCCCGTCCGCCAGAGGCTGTGCAGCGCGAGGAAGAGCTCAAAGAGACTTTCCGCCGGGCAGCTGAGAGAAGCAGCTGGAATCCGGACTATCAGTCGGATGAGAGCTGGAACGGACGCCACCATCTGTCTTATTGCAATGATGAAATGAGTCAGAACTGCAGATGTTACTTTGATCGATGGTTGGATCACAAGGAACTGTTGCCGCAGGATGCCATCCAGGTCCAAAAGCCAACATGGCTACTAGAACCAGATGGTGTCAGCCCTGCGCAGCGCAAGGTGGAGAGGCAAGCAACATGCATCTATTCCGTAACCGGGCCTGGCTTACGCGCACCTGTGCCGTCTGCCCCACCGATGGATTCTGAGGCAGCTGCGCTCTCAAAGGAGAATGTCCTCAAAAGACGTGCTATGCGGGTGTCGCGCGAACGACCGTGGGAACTGGCACCGCCACCTTTCTTTCTCTCGCAAAGGCGTGCGCTGTCCCGGAGCTCGTCGGATTGTGGAAAGGTGTCTGCAGGGACGCAGACGGAGCTGTTCGGAAAGGAGCTGCCGAACTGGATGAAAGAACAGGCATGGGATAGTCACCATCACGCCACTTGGAGCAACTTCCAGAACCTCCAGGGCGCGATCTTGAATCCAGCACCAGTGCGGTCGTATTTCGATCGCCCTCGTGAGCCTGATGTTGGGGCACGAAGTGCTGAAAAGAAACCTTTGGATCCCAAGGAGGGCGCTGTGCGTATTTTGCCGCTCTACCGTCTCGAACCGTTACCTGGAATCGACCACGTGGAAATCCCAGAGGGGGGCCTGTGGCCACGATTTGAGCCCCTTGAATGCCGGTCAGGGGTGCCCTTGCAAAAGCGTCCCGAGATCCTTGGCATCAGGCCGCATGATTGCTTCGTAGATCTTCATAGCTATTCTGCTCTTCCTCTGATTTCTATCGGGTCTATGGGGAGGCATGATGCGTCACCAGAGTTCAAGCACAAGTCGACATGGAGCTGCCCGTCGGAACCTCACTTCGTCCGAATGTGGCGTTCGTCTCATGTGACCTGGTGCTGCCGTCACAAGAACCTGTTGATCTTACAGAGCTCAAATGTTTGACTGAGGTCCCTGCTCACAACATCTCCGAATCCAGAGTTGGTCGAGAAGCAGCAGAGCTGGAATACCCGACATCAGTGCCTGGAATGCAGAGACAGTGCACAGCGTCAGTCTTATCCAGTTCCTACAGAAATCGGCAGCTCTGCCGGGACTGAGGATAACTTTCCAGAATGAGGCAACCGGGCTCAAAATTCAGGAAGCCTCTGAGCAAAGATGCCAGCACCTGGTGCCCTAAGGAGGTGTCTAGGCTCGACCGTTCCTACTTTGACCGATTCCGGGAGCATCATGAGCTTCGCGCCCCTGATTCACCCCGCCACGCAGACTGTTCTGCCACAGGGCTGCATACTCCGCTGAGCCCGGCAGATGTGCGAAACTTGGGAAGGAAGCGGCGTCTCTGAGGTCTGGAGTCTTGGTAAGGACGTCTCGACGAAGGCCAGGCCAGGGCAAGTGCGGCAATGTTTGCAAGTGTCGCGGCCGATTCCGAGGAGTCTGCGAGGACGATCCTGAGCAACAGCGAACACCGCTTCCGCAACGATGGCAAGTGGATGCAGCCCAGCCTGATGCATCCTGTTGCCTTCGACTCCCGTTGCAGGTGATTGTCTTTAAAGAAAGACACAAGACTTCAAGAGACTGCTGTCTGATCTGACTAAGCTAGCGGCGCGGCGATTGTGCAGGGAAGCAGAGATCAGCTCAGAGTGACTATGCCACAGAGACAGCTTCTCAAGGGATGCCGATTTGCAAGGACTCCAAGAGACTGAAAAGGCTTGCCTGTCGATGTGGAGGGGTTGCTGCTGAGCTTCAGGCATCGCCACCAGCTTGCTTTCGACAACAATGGTGGAAGGCGGCAAATTCCAAATCACACGCTTGGCCTCCTCTCCTTTTGTTGACGGAGGATGCCTGTCCAACGAAATCTGCGATGTTACTTCGATCGCTGGCGTGACTTCCCCTCGGAGGTGGTGCACGCATGCCAGCGGGTTAGCGGCACATGCGGTCAAACACTGCCTTCGTAAATGGCTCAAGCTGACATGTGCACGTTGCACAGGCCAACCCGGGTCCTGAAGATATCCTACCCGAGGCCGCTTGGCACAAAGCTTGGCAGGCTTGGCACGACACCCTGGATAAAGACAGGCTCATGATGGGTGATGGGTCTGAGGATTCGCGCCGTGGAACTTTCACTTTCATGACTGAGTCATCGAGAGGGAAACGACGTTGTTTCCCGGCTTGAAGAGAGATGCGATGGAGACACAGAGCCAATAGCTTTGCATGGAAGGCAAGCTGAAGCATTCGCCGGAAGCCGGCAACTTGAAGGTAGATGTATGGAGCCTGGTTGAGAAGCCGTCCAAGCAGAAGGCAATTGAGAGTGAAGCCACGCAAGACTGCAAGTTGATTCCTGCCTGTCATGGTGTTGCGACTTGCCAGGTGCCCAGAGTAGAAGAGACCTTCCGAAGCTGCAATTCCGCATCGCGCTTGAGGGCCATTGCACGTGGGGCAGGGGTGCCGCAACGAGTGGACAGTTTTCTGACAAGTTGATACTTGCTGTGCAATGACCAAGGCACAGGACGAGAAGCGACGGTCAAAATGGCTGGCCAACCATCACGTGGTGTACCTCGGCGCATTGGCGGTTGTTGCCTTGATTGCTTGTTTTGTTGGAATATGATCAGATGTGTGGAGGAAAATGCATGCAGAATTTTTTGTATTTGGCAAAAAATCTTCTGGCAAGCCGCAAGCTCGGCTTTGTCTTTGAGTTTCAGCGGCGCCAGCTGAGGTTTTGACCCCGCTCGTCTTCGCAGGTGGGGTGTCAGGTGTACAGGGCCAGGAAATAGGGGAGAGGGGCTGCAGAGCGCAGCCGGAATGTGTGGGGAAGAGTTTGAGGCACGGGTGCAGCATCAGCAAGGGCCATGGCGAAGCCATGTGTTTCTTGAGTGTAGCAACCGTCAGAATACCTGAAGAATCGTGGTGTGCTGCACAGCCAAATGTCCACTGCCTACATCTTCAAGCATACGCCATCCGCCTGCTTCCGGTCTTCTAGGTGCGGCATGTCGCGATCAGGCTGAAGGCGGTAAGCAAGGCCAGGAAAGTATCTCTGCGGCGGCCATCCTTGGGCTCAGACACGCCGAAGAATCGGAGTTCCGTTGACAGCTGCCGACTCCGGTCTCACTCCCTTACATGCACAGCCTGTGTAACTCAAGCCGAGCCCAACGCGTGCTTCTCAGGGACAGAACTGTTTTGTGTCGTCATCTTTTGTGATCGGAGCGATGGCGGCCGCTTGCGCTTGTGGTCCTGTGACCGCCTCAAGCCGTCAAGCCAGACTGTCTTGCCTAACTCTTGCGGTCATCTTGTATGCTGATGTTCACGTCATGATACTGGCAGTCTCTCGCATGACAGCTGTGCTCGGCTGTCCTTGCTTGCCAAGGCACCAGTGCTTCCGAAGCGCATAGGCAACCAGGACTTGGAGGTGCGTTTGATGTGGCAGCTTGCTGGGTGCCGTCGTTGTGCATGAGGGAAACTGTTATGCTGCAGCTGTGGTTACCCGCACAACAACTTTCTGTTCTCAACATGTGGCTCAAGAGCTGCTTGAACACACATTTCTTGATTCAGGATAGCTTGGCCATGCCTCGGAAGCGTTAGAGCCTTAGGCATCAGATGTCTGCGATAGAAAAGTCCTCTGATTTTCCACGACGCAATGATTCCCTGCTTTGAAGCGACTGGCCGAATTTCTTCAGGCACAGAAGCATTCCAGCATCTCAGGTGTGTATTGTGATGGATGAGCTTGCATAGACTTTTGCACGAGCAACTTTGCAGGCCTCTGCAATGCATGCGGCCGTGCTTGTTCGGCCGCTCCGGATTGTGTGGAGCTACGTGGCTGCAAAGAGGGAGGAGCTGCAAAGCAGCGCTGCTCCGGAGTCTGGTCCTTGCTGAGGGCTTGCTGCCAACCAGCCCTGAACGTGTGCAACCGACCTTTGGGATGTTACGTTGTGGCTGCTCTGCTCTTAGTCTCTGTGGAAGTCGCTTGCGTGACGCACTTCGGCTAGGTAGGCAGGCAGGCAGGAGGACCGCCTTCAGGCCTTGGTGACAAATCTTCCAGCGGCTGTCTTGGAATCTCGGCAGCAGGGAGTGTTTTTCAAGCCGGTGGAGGGTAGACGGAGCCAAGGCCTACCAAAGCTCCACATATTCCCAAGTGCGCTATTGCAAGTCTGCTCCAGTGACTTGGCGTCGCCAGCTGCTGTTGGGGTCGCTTGATCTGCTTGTCGATGTAGGTGCTCATGAGAGTCGCTCCGAGGTCTTGAGCTTCTGCAACGGTGCGATTGTATTGAGCTTGACCAGACCTCAGTGCCAGCACGAAGTCACAGGTGACACCAGCTACACCTGCAGCTAAAGCTCGTAAGCTTCCGGTTCAGTTGACACGGCCCAGGACCAATATTGCATTCGCGTTCTACATGCAATGGAGACTTGTGGCAGCACTCCGATCCGGGGACGAAGGTGGTGCAAGAACCATGCTGCAGCAGGCAAGATGTTTCCTGAAGCATTATTCCTGGCAAACCACGCGTCTGTCTCGCAGTGCAGCTGCAGGCAAGCAGCATTGTCTTGTATGATTTCGTCTTCTGCATTTACGTGTTCCTCTTTGCTGCCGGGATAATATATTGCTTCTTTGGAATAGGGAGGCTTGGCTTGAACCGGCACCTACACGCGAGCAAGCACCTCGTTGCCGCTCTTCTCAATCTACCAGACTTCTAAGGTGGTGGCAATCCTGTGACGTGGACTCCTGGAATCCCTTCTGGGCTGCGTTCCTCATCCTTCTGTTTGGGCTGTGGAGCGGCATCTTCAGCTGCTGTTGGGGTAGCCAGCTGCAAATTGACATCTTGCAATGTCCTGTTTTGCTGTGTCTAATCCGGACATCTACTCACTCTTTCGCAGGCCTGAGCTTGGGCTGCTGGGGTGTCCTGGAAAGCCTCGGCGTCTCGTCTTCGGTAGCTCGCCTTGTCTTCGGTGCAGCTGACGGACCTTCCACTGCGCCTGCAACCGTCCAATCTCGACAATCCGCTCGAGAGATGAGCCCTGGCAGAACTTAAAACAGCGATGCGAAGGCGTCGGTCGCGCTGCGCAGAGCGATGCGAAGGCTGATGTGATTGTACCTGCATCTGGCTGAAGGCGTCCGGATCTGGGCCCCGTCGCTGCACAAGCGCTTCAGGATCGGTCCTTGTCATGCTTCAGCCGTGTAGCATGGACACAGTGTCGACTTGCAGGGAGCTCCGGCGCCGTGATGATATGGACATCCGAAGCACCGAAAGCTGCGTGCAAGCATCCTCGGCTCGTGCTCACCGCTCACCTGAGTCAGGCGAGGCTCACCTACGTGCTCACTAGAGAACTCGAGGTGTCAGACGGCGCCTCCGTGTGCAAGCACGGGTCAAGCGCGACGTCCGGCAACGTGAGAAATCTGTCAGCCCAAAGATCGTGAATGATGCGTGGAGCAAAAGATCGCCTGCACTCCAGCATAGTGGTTGTGAGCTGGGCACGGGGTTGTTGGGGCTGCCAGCGAGTTTGCTTGGAACCACATGTCTCACTGCTGCAGAAAATGACGTCGACGACTCGTTTGCAAGCCGCCGAAGTTAAGGTCCGCTCTGGCTTAGTCGGTTTTCAGAGAAACAGTGCTGACAGCGGCCCTTTTTGGTGTTCTGGTGACTGCGCTTCTGCCGGCTTCGGCCAGCGGAGGCGCTTTATGCCCGCTTTCGGCGGCTGGCACCCTCAGGCCTCGCCAGGACGTAGACTTGTGGTATCGGCAGAAGACTTCCCTTTCAGGCTATTTGCTTCAGCAGCAGTTCCAACAAACCATGGGCGTCATGGGACTCACAGACGACCATTTTCTCGTCGATCGGATGTTCCAGGTGTCAGGTGCCAAGCCAGAGTCCAGAGCAGACTAGAGTCTAGAGCTTTGCTAGATGTCGTGCCATGTTTTGTCTCAGGTTCGACACTGATCACGATGGCAAGCTGAGTTTTATAGAGTTCGCCTCTGCGCTGGGAGCCAGGAATGACTGTCACAGCGGTTCCCTATGCACAGAGTCACGCGGTGAGTTGCTACCAAGGCTGGCCATTATGATCCGCGGCACCGAGGACGTTGCTAAGCTCAGGTGCTGCGGGGCCTCTTCCGGATGGCTTTTTCTGTCTGCAGGATGAGAAGCTCGCGTTTAGCTTCCAGATAGTCGGCGGCAAGGAGGTGCATGTTCGGTCTGTTCATAGATCTTGACCCGACTTGGGTCGGTGACCGACATGCAGCAGGCATCCGGCGTGCGGCTGGAGGACTTCCAACAACTGGTTTTGTCCTTGGCGGTGACAATCGTGCTAGAAATTCTCATGAGAGTGGGATGTTGCAAGGTGGCGTCCTACAACCGGATGATGCCCAGCCCTGGGAAGGGTGTGCATGTTCTGAATTGGTCGGATAGGGACCATCGGGGAGGGAGGAGGAGCGCATGCAGGGGGAGCCCGGCTCCTGCCACGGGAAGCATGGTGGTTCAAGAAGGTTTCGCGTTCGCCATGATGCCCGAAGCAGACGCCGGAGCAAGCCGATTCAACAAGCTGGCCACGTGGTTCTGCTTCTTTGATGCGGTGGTGGGGGTCCTTGAGACGCAAAGCTCCGTGCCTGGAGCGGGCAGCCTGAGAAATCCATACTTTCCTGATGGGCAGGCAGGCGGCAAGGGGCAGGAAGTGGGCGGAAATGGGGGGTGTGCTACTGTAGCGGAATTGGCCCAGGCCTTTTGGGAGGGAATGTGTGTCGCTTACGGACACACGAAATACCATGGAGGGGCAGGATATGTCAGAATCGTGTAGAGGCCAGCCCAAGAATCCGGAGGTAAGAGGGGGGCGCTCACTGGACAGGGTTCTTTCTCTGAGAAATTCTGCCGCTTTGGCCGGACCCGAGGCGAATTACTTCGTTCTGCCGAGGACGAGTAGAACAAAGCTAGCAGTACAAAAGCAACCGGCTGAGGTCATCACTCGTGGCACCGACCGGGTTCAGGCCTCAGGCAAAGCCGTGCGAAGATTCTGCAATGGCTTGCACTACAGCAATCAGGCACCATGTAGCACCACTGCAAACCAACGCTTCCGAGCAAAGACACCAAAGCCCTTGCTGAAGGGTTCCAAACTCGTGTTTCGTTGGAGTCGTCCAGTAAATTTTCGCTATTCGCCAAAGATCCTCGAGGATGGAACAAATGTGCACGTTAAAAGCCTCGTGATGCGGGCTTGCTGTTCAGCCGTCTCCCGCCTTCGTCGAGCGGGAGTGCTAAAAGCAATTCGTGATAAACTTTCGACCGAGAACAAGACAAACAAGAAGCACACATAGATATCAAGCTGCACTTTGTTTTGGGACTTGGGTCAGGCGAGGCAGGCTGTGTCAATATAGATGAGATATAATGAAATCTTAAAGCCCATCTGCCTGCTCATTGCCAGACAAGGCGGCTGACTTCCGACGAGGCTGCGAGCAGCCTCCGTTTGCTTGATCAGCTCAGCCGCTGTCCGGTTTTGACCTGCAGGATGTGAAGCGCTTGTTTCATGAGCTGGCATCGGCCCGAGATGGAACCGAGGAGGCTGCCTGCAAATGCCCGCCCGAAGTCTCTGGAGTTCTTTGGGCACAAACTCCCCGTCAGGAAGTCATCAGCTTGGATGCTTACAAGGCGGCTGCACAGGAGAATGGCGACTTCCTGTCATGCCTTGGGCTTGAGTGCGGGGCCCAGGTGCACGCAAGTCCTACGGTCCGATGTCAAACCAGCATGCCAATGCCAATGCGTGCTTGCAGCTGTCTAGCGTTGTATTTGTCCTGTGTGTAACAGGACCCTGTTGTGTTTTCTTGCGCGACGCCTGAACAGCTCAAGATCATAGCAGAGCATGGTCATCTGATCATCATTTACAAGCGTGTATTTTCAAGCAGCCCTTGGCCATGTTTCCACCGGCGGAGCCGATAAAGCCTCCCAGTTTCCGGCGCCTGAGAAGGAATGTGCCTGAATCAAGCGCTGCAGATCGTTGGCATGGGAATTGGTCAAGCAAGCGGGCGCACACTGTTGAGGATGAATCTGGATCTGCAGACTGCTCTGTGAGCTGGAGAGATTGGGCCGAGGCAGAGGAGACCTTGGAGGGCTTGGGGGAGGAGGGGGAGGAGGAAGGGGGGGATGAGGAGAAGGAGGAGGCGGAAGAGGAACACATGTACGGCGAGCGTGGAAACGAGCACAGCTGGTCCAGCTGGAAAACAGAGCAGACGAGTGAGGATTACCGTGGTGGGACTTGGAATTGGTCAGAGCACTGGAAGCAGGAACGCCAAAACCACGAAGAGCAGCGGCCGGAAAAGAAGCGAAGGAGAAACTGGTCTGCGGGTGAGGAGGAAACATCCACAACCGATTGGTCCAATTGGCAAAAGGAGGAGCAGGAGCAAAGCTGGAAGAGAGACGACAAAAGTCACAGGAATGGTCAGCCCAACGAGCCAGGGGTCTCGGAAGCACATGGCCAGGAGGCGTCTGAATTCTATTCCCCTGAAGGCTATGAGCTGATATATGTATCTAAGGTACAGGCGAAACTGATGTTGACAATGCCTGGGTTCACTAGCTATCATATTTCCCGTGTAATTGGGAAGAAGGGCAGTGTCCTCAGAGACATGGGGATCACAACGGGAACAAAGGTATTCCTCTGTGGACGTGAGTCGAACAGGCCAACTGACGAGGACAACCACCTCCTCGTCACTGGCAGAACCAGTGCCGATCTGGAGAGAGGCCTGCAGAAGGCTTGCGCGACAGTCGCGGAAGTCTTGAACAATGAGTTTCCAATCTGTACACATTGCGGAGGAGATCACAAAAGCAGGGACTGCCAAAAGATGCGACTGCCCTTTGTCCACGATGTCTACCTTGAGCCAAGCACCAATGTTGGCTTCATTATAGGGGCCCAGGGGCGAAATGTTCAGCCGATCATGGATGCCACAGGAGCCAACATCAGAATGCTGGGTGTGGGTTCCGGAGAGTACAAGGCAACAGAGCCCCTACATATGCGCATCGAGGCTGCGACCCAGCATCTGCTGGACAAGGCTGCCGCTATGGTCGAGGAGTTGATCTGGAGGGTGGCGCATTGGTCGCCCTATGACAAGGATCCACCCCCAGGGAAGGTGTTTGAGTACCAGCACAAGATTTGGTTGGACATGGAAGCTGACAGACAAGGCTACGACAGCCTGAATGCCCACCTTCTCGGGAAGGGTGGTCAGAACTTTCGTGAGATACATGAAAGAACAGGTGCCTGGCTTTGGCTGCGAGGGCATGGTGCCGGTCATACTTCGTGCCTGGACCCGGCTCCAAGGAAGGAAGGCCTCCACCTCCTCATCGAGCACGATGACAAGGAGAGGGCCCAGCTGGCCGTTGAGATGGCCACTGGGCTGCTGGATACGGTTTTGGCAAGACTTGGCTCGACCTACTGCAACATCTGTGGTGGCCCTCACTTTACGTATCGATGTCTGAAGGCGAACAGCATGGGGTACTTGACCGAGATGGCAGCCAAGGGGGCCAAGGGATCAGGAAAAGCAAGGCACCGGGGTGTGTCCTAAACGAAACATGAAACACAGCACTCCTCTCGACGCCACGCGGAGCTGGCTTCCAGGCAACGCCAGGTGCATGGCTACAGGCTACAAGGATGCTCAGTGTAAATGCGGCACCTCGTGTGCTGCAGCATCCACAGAACGAAGGAGGAGACGGCCTTGCCCTGCGGCTAGGTGGAGATAGCGTGCGCTGTCACCAATCACTTCGGACGAGCGACTCCTTAACGGTCAGCGGGCCAAAGAGCTTGCAAAACTGTCGGGCGTAGTGCATAAGCCGCCCCTCCGCCCCACATGCAATGTTTTTACTTGTGACCAGGCCCACGGGTGGCCGAGCTGTGGCCAAGAAGCCGCAGAAGTGCGGCTCTGAGGAGACCTGACAATTATTTTGCGAGCTCTCAAACCCACGGAACTGAACAGGCCAGCTCCAGTTCCGGAGGTCCAGGCCCGGAGAGTGCCAGCCAGTTCGCAGAGAGAGCGCGAGAGGGAGCGAGAGAGAGAGAGAGAGAGAGAGAGAGTAGCAGTGGGCGATACGAGGGTGCAATACTCTACTCGTACTGGAACTTTCGGGGCGTAGTCCACAGTATCGCCGGGGAGTGCTCGTTGTTCCAGCATGTAATACACATGCATACAACCAACAGACGGGCGGCTCCCGCGGGGGCTCGCCCTCAGGCCCGGAGAAAGAAAAGAGTAGCGCTGCGCAGGGAGCGGGGGACTCGTGCCCCCCTTCCCAAACGCCCCGCGAGCAAGCAAGCAAGCAAGCAAGCAAGCATTTTCCAGGTCCGATGACATGAAGGCTCACGGATGCAGACAAACTCGGGGAAGCATGACATCTCAATGAACTAACGCATTGAAAAGCCTAATGTTTCTTTGGAGCCTATTTGTGTGCCTGATTCGGAGAAAGAGATGTCTAGCAAACCCCACCTACAGATGCTAGACTAATATTTGCCGCAAGAAGTCGTTGTTCTGTGTTGAGGTCAGCGTGTAACGTGGAGAGCATGCGAGCATAATGCCAATGTCTTGGTCCTGAGCCAGATGATGAAAGACCCAGACCATATAGTTGCAATATAGAAGTCTGCCATTTCGGTCGTAACATCTAACAGCCTGCAAAAAGCGGGCGGGCCGCTGTGTCCGGGAGCCTTATTCGCCCCTTAAGCCTGGGAGAAGAAGAGAGAGAGCACTCAATATGGGGGGGGGCGGGCGCAAACGCGCGGAGAGAAGGGTAACTCCCTCCTCTTCTAAACTTCGGCAACCGAAGACAGAACACTTGAACTCAGATCACGTGCAATTTGCCCTGTTCTGCTTTCTTACCTGGTGGCTTTCCATACGAGGTGCCTGGAGTGCGGAGGTAGGGGTCGCTCGAATGCCTTCTACTCTTCGGAAAGCAAGAGAACGGTTGCAGCGGAAGAAGAAGAGAGAGTGTTTCCACAGCTCTGGCAGCGCAAACGGACGAGAGCTAGAGCAGTGTGTCAACTCGTAGCTCTGAGAGATTGAATTACACCCAGCCAGTATGGCCTACCCTCAGAACCGATAATGGAGGTGGACCACCCGGCCTGTGCTCTCTCGATCGGTGACCCGAATTCCTCAAAGACAGCAGCAAGAAAGGTCCAGGTGTGCTTTTGAGCCTTTTCGGGGATGAGACACCTCATGGCTACGGGCGGTCAGGCAGACGAACGCACACGAGCTGGAGCGTAGCGCGGGGGCAACCTCTCAAATTGAATCGACGCGCGGAAGGAAGGCTTAAACGTGTGGCAGACCGAGAGGCTCCAAATGTTGAATTCGAAGAGAGTGGATTGGCCATGTGCAAGCATCTATACACACAACAATACACCAAACAAGTGAGACATTACACACAGACACACGCACGCACAGAGGTACATGTCTGGCATAGGTGACAGAGAGAGCATCAACAAGCACAGTGCCTTTTCGCACTCCGCAGCTGCACTGGAGGCACCTTCTGCCGACGGAGTGTATGTTCCACGACAGCATCTTGAGGAGCACATGCCGCGAAGTCGCCAAGCCCCGTGACCAAGACTCACCGCAGTTAGGATCGCAAGTTCTGGTGTGGCGCTAGTGCCCGTCTGCGTGCCTGCCCTACACACCAAGAGCAAAGCAGGAGCTTCAGCGACGTGTGCTCACGCTTCAGAAAGCTTTGGACCTCAGATCGCCCAAGCGAGCGCCGCTGCAATACCACGGAATGCCACGAGTCACGTCATGGCACGGTCAAAGACTCTGCTGCTGGCTGGCCGCCCCAATACGATCAGTCCGGGTGTTAGACTTTCGGCTCAGGTATGCACAAGAGGATCGGCGATGTTTGAGGGATGGCAAAATTGCCAGGTAGAAGGTGACACCAGCAGCCCAGACCTCTGGCACCACTCTGAGCCCCAGCGTGCTTCAGCATGTGCATCCTGAAGCGTCAGCCAAGCAATGCCCCACCCAGTGTTTCCATGATCTCACGGAGACATTCCAAGCCATGGTCTCGCAGTCACCATTCGCCATTCTGGGGCTCCAGGCCCGATTGCAGTCGTTGTGCAGAGCCGACAGTGCTCCGGTGCTGCCCTGCTGTCGTACCGCCGTTGTTGTGGCACTATTCGTCGTCGCAGCAGTTTTTGTGGTCGGGACAGAGGCGGTGGTATTGGCAGTCGCAGTAGCAGCAGCAGCAGTCGTCGTCGTATTGAGTCGTCGTCTTCGCAGAAGAAGTGGTAGGTCAGTAACTGGTAAGTTGTAAGCGGTGCTGGAGTTGTAGTCTTGTCCCGTACCCTCGCCTGCTTCGTCGAGTGCGTATGCTAACAAAAGTTGTTAGTAGTAAGTGGCAAGTGGTAAGTATAGGAGTGGTGGTAGCGTACTGTAACTAGTGCAGCTAGTACGTCAGCAAGTTGTAAGCAACGAGTGGTAGCAAGTTGGAGTAGTTGGAGTAGTGGCGGTTACGAATAAGAATATGACTATGAGACTGATTGTAGCAGTTGAAGGTTATCATGTGGGCAAGCCAAAGCAGGGTGCTGAGGATTAGCTATCGTTGCAACGTTCGACATGTCGGGGTTGCTGTTCACAACGTTCTCCTAGCTTCTTACCGTGATGGTCGTATCGATACGCCCATCAAAAACGCAAGTGCTGGCAGCTCCTTATGATGTCGATGGTTTTCCTTGATATTGCAGCATGTCGCCACCTCATGCAGCAGGATTTGGATGCGCCAGCTTCGGCCGTCGAAAGCGCATTTCGTCGCCGAAGCTTAGACTGCCACCCGGACGGGGTCGATGAGGGCGGAGTGTTAGTTGTTCTCTTGGATTCCGGCTTGATTTAGAGGACAAGCGGCCCGGCGACCCCACAGCCAAAGCGAAGTTCGAGGTCTGGGTGCGTCGTGAGGTCACTCTTGCTGTTCTGCCTAGCTTGTTGTGCTACATCCACGTACTCCTCCTCCTTCTCCTCCTCCTCCTCCTCCTCCACGCGTGTGCCACGAGTGTTTCAAGATACCGCGCTCATGCCGCGAGATGACATGCAGAGCTTGCAGAAGTGCTGTCGATTGTCTTTTCTGCACCGTTCTTACGAGGCATTGGCCGCTGCGAAGGAGGGGTGCAGTGGCCGTTTTGCTTTCGTGCTAGATCTAGATCGAGTTCCAGAGCTTGACGAGGAGACGCTCCTTGACCCAGACAAGAGAGCTGTGGCAATCGAGGAGGTGAAGCTCTCGCAGGTTGGACAGGCAGGGATGGCAGGGTGAAGTCCGCCTCTTCGGCCTCCCGGACCTAGAGCCTCTGCGAGGCATCGTTCCTGCGACCACACCGTGCCGCAGGCATCCGAGTCAAGAGGAGCATCTAACCTAAACCATGAAAAGACAAAAGCTCAGATGTCCGCAGGTGCCCCCCGAGCTGGAGCTGCAGCGGCCAAGAAACCGGCGGCTCCGCCCGCGGCGAAGAAGCCAGATCCTCCGGCAAAGTCGGGGTTCATTCCCCCAGCTCAGCGTGAGGCCCATGCGTGAACGCACTTTGCTCCGATTTTGCTCCGATGCGGAAGACCGATCGTGCAGTGCACCAGGAGCCAACACCGAGAGCTTCGGTCCCGGACCCTGAGTTCCTTAGCTGTTCCATGGCACCTGCTGCGGGCACAGTGACATCGGACAAATTCTGCGACCGTGTTTCAAAACAAGGAAAGCCGCTGCAGGGATCTTTTTTAGACATCTCGAGCGGCAGCGCGAGAAGAAGGCAGGTGCCATGTGGTATCTTTCGATTCAGAAGCGGGTGAGCCCCCATGGTTTGCGCAGGAGCCACGCCGAGATTTTCTACTCCCACACGGGCCGTTCCTCAAAACAGTTGGGGAGGACGGTCAGAAACCACCTGCGCCTTCAAACCAGCCAGTGTGCCGAACAGGCCAGGGCGACAAAGAAGCGTCCTGTTCAGAGTGCCGCGAGGCTATCGGCACACTTGTCTTTTCATGGACCTTTCTTCGTGTCTTTCGTCTTTCTTGCGGTTTGTTCGGTTGCAGGGAGAAGGACCGGTCTGGGCTCCGTGACGGTGCGGGCATCTCCGGCAAGGCTCCGACGGTGCATAGAGGAATGCCTTGCGCAGCTTTGCTGCAGCGGTGTAGCGGTAGGTGAAGCGACTTGCTGAAGCGGTGCACGTGCAAGCCGCTCCGCCGTGGGTTGGCGGAGGCCTGCCTCGGCCAGTACGCCTTCTTGAACTGAGTTTTGACGTTTGGTCAGGTGAAGGTGCCAGTCAAAGGGTGCCGGTCATTGCAACGCCTACACAGGCCGCTTGACTGCGGCAGAGGCTTGTTGCAAATGTTTCTTCTCACATCACCAGGTGCCGGAACCTGCGCCTGTACCGTTCGAGTGCAGAAAGGATGCAGCAAGCACCTCGACTTGTGCTCCAGCCGCTCCAGCTCCAGGGGGCGTGAAGAAGAAGGAAATCCCTGCCGCAGCACGCTGCCTTCCGTTGCCGCTGCTCCTACCACCAACCGCAGACATTGGTGCACTCACCACAGCCGTCGGGCGGGCGACTGGCGCCAAAGCCTCCGATGCCGGAGTGCTTGCACGAGTCGTGTCAGTCCTTCGCAGATGTGGAGGCGCGGCGTCCCTCGCGTCGCTCACGCAAAATCCGAAACGACTGAAGCGGATTTTGTCTCGGTACCCTCGGCTCATCGATGTGCAACTCGGCGGCCTGAGGAAGGTGAGTACGTGCCAATTTCCAGCAAATCCACACGGCCGCGGAGGTATTTCCCCGGCAAGTTCAATGCCACTCAGAAGTTGGAGGCAGACGTTTGCGCGAGAACAGTTTCACAGTTTCTGTCGAAGCGTTCAGGATGATCAGTATGCACGTCCGGGCCCCTCAAAGATTCTGGTGCAAAGCTGTCAGTCTTTATAACCAGGGTTTGCAGGGCTGGGTTCCGACTCGGGAATGCTACTGGTAGGCAGAGTTGACCACCAAGGGATGGACAACATGCAAATAATAGTACATGAATACCTAGATAGACAGGCATTCACATAGCGGAGGTCCATGCTCGGCTACGTGGAGCAGAGCTACAGCGGGCTAAAGAGGATGAGCAAGAACGACTGAGGAAGTCTGAGCGCTGGCAAACCATGGAGGCTGTGCTTTCCATCGTAGGAGCGTAGCAGCAAGGCATCATATGTTGCCGCAGTGCTTTCATGCAATAGGCCGAGCCCATGAAGCCTTTCGCACCTTCGGTGGGTCGATTTCAACCAGGATGTCGGTGACAACTGCTGCTTGATGTTGTTTCGTATCATCCACCAGTGGTTCTGCATGCTACATTGGGTCCTCAGTAGGCGTTGTACCCGTGCAAAGTTAGTGGCGAGGAGCCCGTTTGGCTCTGAAGATGCGCCTCGCCAGGACCAGGACAGCAGATTTTGCGTACAGTGCTGAACACAGTAGGCCTTCATTCCTTCAGACCATTGAATGCTCCGGGTGCCAGGCCGCCCGGCTGTCCGCCTGTGCGGCGGACTGGCAAAAAGCAGCCGCGCGTCGTTGACGTGGCCCACCGGCTCAGCGAGTGAGCTTACGACCCTCAAGGGATGTTAGTTTGCGTCGCGCAGACGAGGATTCCTCCGACGAGGGCTCGTGCCTGGTCATGCCGCCACCACCTCCAAGAGACTTGTCTGAGCGGATAGACATCTGCAGATGCAAGTTCTCTCTGGCAGCTGCGGGCTGGTGCAGTGTCACAGGTTCACAACCGGGCTTGGACGGCGAGCAGCAGGACACCGATGGCACTTGTGCAGAGGCCTTCGTATGCCTGCGGCCTTCTCGCCGATTTCATTGATGCGCGGACCAAAGCATCTTGTCAAGGCGAATGCGAGTGACAACGCGCTTCTGCATGCGTACGCTCATGCAGTGGGAAAATGGAAGGCCCTGTGCCAAGTTATGCTGTCAGTTGTCATGGGGCCTCGATGCCTATGGCCGACTCACTTTGGCTTCGTTCCCAGGCTTCGAACGACTCGGTGGGGTCTGCTGTGCGACGCCACGGACTGAGTAGGTCGTCCATGTAGGGCTAAATGCAGTTAGAACACGAAGAAGCAGCAACAGTTAGCGCCAGTTAGGGATAGCCACGGCATTTAGTTTTAGTTGCCGCCGAGATTGCACGAACAACCAAGGTCTTGAAAAGGCGACATATGCAATGAAACTTGTTTGGACGGTCTAATCCAGGCACCTTCGCACCTTTCTGCTGCTTGGGATCCCCCCAGTGACAAGTGGTGATCGGGGAGCCAAAGTGCAGAAGTCAGCACAAGCCGTGCATGGGTTCAAGGCGCCGGGCACAAAGTGTTTGAGAAGAGAATGCGGAGGAGGGGCAGGTGGAGGAGTAAGCCCTGCACATACCACCACGTGCTACAAACCCCGGGTGTTGTGGCAGAACGCTGCCAGGACGAATTGCCGGATTTCGGGAATTTAGTTTGTCCAGCACGTGACGCATGATATCGATGTGGTCCTGGCAGTCGGTTCCAAGAAACGCTGCTGCCACACTCGGTGCTTGCCTTTGAGGCTACTTCCTGCTTCTTCCTGCCGGTGGTCTGGGGCTGCTGCGGCCGGGACACCCTTCCTTGCTCTACTCCTTCGACGTTGCATCGAAGGTGCGCCTCTCCAGTCTGAACAAGTTGGTCGCACAACAGGAATGCGATGATGATGCTTCCTGCCCAGGTCTTGTACGAGTATGTCCCAGCAGAAGAGCGATGTGTGGTCATGTGGTCACCATCTTGTCCTGAAGTGAATCGCAGCTGCATGTGTGGACGATGTCTGTGTATGTTGACATGAGCATGATGGGCAACAGGTCCCCTCCTCTGCATGGCCAGCACAGGCCCGCAGCAGGCATAGGCCCATGGCGCTCTGCCAAGGAATGCAGCTCTTTGGACTGTCCTGCCTCTGCCACCGGAAGCGCCTTCTCAAGAGGCAGGAGGTGTGTGTTGCGTGAGTCTGGCCCGAAGGTCTTTTCGGAGGGTTCTGCCACGTGTTGCCAGTCCAGAGACCCCATGTCAGGCTCCCTCGACGCCCGAGGCCCCGGAGGAAGAGGAGGACGGCCTTAGTCTTTGAGCGTCTGTGTGACTCCGCCTCTTCCGTGGCAATGGCACGTGCGTTGCGGAGCCTGTTGCCTGTCAGGACTCTGACAGCGACGATGTGGACATCGTGGCTTCGCCAGCATGTGGTAAGTTTCAGGTCTGCACTTCTGCAGTGTGCAGTCGCCTGCCCGAGGACCGGTTGATATGCGATGCTGCTGCGGAAGTTGGGGTTCAACTAGATGGAGAGCCTTGCAGTGAAAGCACATCGGTCGATGCCGAAAATGGACTCGAGCCGCTCTTGCCTGCCGTGCCGAATTCGAAAGCTACGCTGACAGGCATGTAGACGGTCTGTAAGCAAGGGCCCCCACACAAGCCACAAAGCCACTCTTCGAGGCGCTGGCTGCTGAGCAGAGGAGTCTGCGTTGTCACAGTCTCCACCCCTCCCCAGCTCAAGAACTGGCAAAGTCTTTGTGGTCTCAGTGACTTACATCGCAGGAGAAGTTTCCTGGGGAGGTTGGGGCCTTGGGCCTTGCACTGCGCACGCGCACGTTTTACGTGTCAGTCCGTGCCTTTTCGGCTTCTTTCCGAGATTGCCGGCCGACCCGCCGTCACCGGTGCCGGAAGAACCGGCCAGATGCCCGGCTTGGGCGGCTTGGAGCCGTGCAGCAAGAAAACTGAGCTTTAAGCTGAGGCACAGGAAGACAGCTACCCTTGGTGGATGCCCACTTGTCGGGGACTGAATGCAGATCCTGCAGCGCCACAATCCCATATCCCTAGGCCCTAGACTCCCTAGACTATGCTGGATATGGTTTGGGGAGGTATGAAAAATGGGTCAGGACATCTACAGGCTTCCTTCAGCAGGACATGTTTGTTGTAAGTGATTGTTGTGTTTCGTAAAGCTGGCAAGTTTAGAAATGGCGTTGCAATATGTTGGAATTGTACGATGCCTACCTCGTGCAGAGGTGTGGCTGTATCCAGCGCACTTTGTCCCCGTATATCGAAGAACGCTGCGGTTGGCAAGCGAACCCATAGACGCGCCCGGCAACCCCCCATGAGTGTTGGAGAAAACGACCACGCACCAACCCTTCCTGTGCACTCTCCCTTCAGGCGGCTGCACGCCCATGACAAGAATGACGCAGTTGCCTTGTGAGGCAGTTTCTTGGTTTTCGTCCGTTCTGATTTATGCACAAGTGCTTTTGAAGGCACGGGGTGAGATCCTCGACTGCGAGCCCGCAGCACCAACCGCAGCCATGGCAGCCACAAGCGAAGCTCACTCTGGCCCAGAAGCTTTCTCAGATGCCCGGGCCTCGGGCGAATACACGTAGGATGCCCTGCCCTTAGCAGGTTGAGGTTTTGAAGGCATGGGTGCCCTCTGTATACAACCTCACGCACAGGAGCAGGAGGATCTCTATCATGAGCCGTGCACTTGGACTGTGACTTGAACATTGTTGTGACTTGAACATTGTAAGAAGTTCGGCCATCGACAACTCTACATGTGTGCCCAGGGTCAATGCCCTGATGCGGCTGTGTGCCAAGTGGACAGACTCGGATCGCGGACTCCATGTGGAATCGGTCGGCGCACTGAGATTTCAAGCGACAGAGGAGCGGCTGCTCACTGGCGCCCCTTGTTCCCAGGTCGCGCCAGATCCCTTCATGCCTCAAGTGCTCCAAGAAGAGCTCAGGCTTTCCCATCTTAGTACTTGCGAAGACCTTGCAGGCCCCAGGGCCGCCCCAGGCCAGTGCCTGCCAGGACCTACAGTCGACAAAGGCAGTACTCAAGAGATGTATCCCGAGAGTCAGACGACAGCAGGCAGTGGCGAGTGCTTGTAGACCGGTGTCCAGAAAAGATTGACGAGCGTGGCCACGCTGCAGGGCCTTTGCCAACCAGATGCCGCAATCGCCGCAGAAGACCTCCAAGCACTCCGACCCAGCTGCCAGTGCGTGCTTCTTGGAGCGCTGTTCTTGCTGTGAGTGTCGATCTTGTCAAGGAAATCTGCGGGCGTCCATGTGGCTGTCACTGCTGCATCTCGGGAGAGCGATGGTCAGGCAATGAGCAATGTGTGGTGATGGGCATATGAGACCACCCTCAGCGGTGGGAATTCGTCCGCTCTAGGGATGTTTCCTTGCAGGGGCCAGCCATCCAGGGAGGACGACATCGAGCGTGGCTCTCAGACGATCGCGGTCTCAGAGATGTTTCTGAGACGGGTGAATCACTGAATGATGAAGGCGCTCAGCGTTTCTTCGAGCCGTCAGCGCAGGCATCCTCGAGCTTAGGAGTTGCGCTGTAGAAGTGTTTCCGATTCAACCTAGCAGACCTAGCATAACTGACTCGGTTTCGGGGCTGTGCCGAAGATGCAGCCATCAAATTTGCTGTGCCATCCGTCTCCGACTTCGGTGTGGGCCACATGTAGGTATTTGGAGCGGTTGAGGGCCTGAGGTTCATGTGTTCCCTAGCATGTTTTGGATTGCTTATGGTTGAGAGATTCGGGTTAAAATGTTGTGAGTTTGTGATGGGGGTTGGGATTCGTGCTTGTTTGCTCGGAGCCTCAATCGTTGGTTGAGGATCAGGCGTGTTTCAGTATGTAGTCGCCGATACTACCACAGTGGTTCTGAGTTCTGATCATCTTGAACTTTACAGCCATTGCCGAGGATGAGGTCGAAAGTAAAGTACATCCCAGACAATGCACGCAGTGTGGATCGACTCTGCTCTTCAACTGATCTATGCGAGCTTTATCCCCCCTGCTGCCTCGCATGCACCTCATCATTCAAGCTTTAGCCTCGGATAGTCGCGTCAATTGCGGCCCATAGTTCTTTACAGCGAGGTCGTGTTCAAAAGCCGGCCTAGTAGTAGTCTAATTGCCTCGCGCAGTCTCGTCGTGATAGCTCACTGTTTAGTTCTAAACTCTATACCCCTCTTCTCAGACGGCGAAGTCATATGTTAGCTATGAAGCGCAACTCTCGCCGCCGTCTCCCGTCGGTTGATAGCTGCATTACAGCAACCTCACAGTATCTCACAGTGGCCTCTTGAAAATGCCATCCTACGCCACTTGAAGGCACCATCGGCTGTTGGGGCCGAAGAAGGGCCTTGCTGCTTGAGCCTCGAGGGAAGCTTTTTAACAGTTCTTGGAGGAATCGGGCTCAAGCTTGAGGTGCATTTCGGCCACGAAAACTGGAACATGGTGCCTGTCCAAGCTTCCACCCTGATGCTGGAGCTTATGAGGCAAGCTTTCGGCACTGCGATTCCATGGCAGGTGCTCAGCATGATGATTGGCATCCGGATGTCTGTGGGACGTTCCGGGCACGCCATCTGGCTTTCTCTCTTGCGGGTTAACGTGAAATCTTGTCAGGTTCTGTTGCAGCAGAGCGTTTCCAGCTTAAGTTCAGTGGACACATTGTGCTCTTGTCACGGAACAGGCAAGAGCTGCACAGAGAGCTGCAGCCTGTGGACTTCATCATGAAGGATCTGCTTTCGCTCATGGTCGCTAGGTAACTTTGGCCACCGCAGTGCCAGGGTCACAGTCATGCAATGGCAACCATGTGGGCAGAACTCATGGTGCAACCAGAAGACACGACTTAAATCCGCTTCTGCTGTTGGCAGCATGTGAATGGTTATGTTGATTTGTGACTGTATCTTACCCCACGCAATATCGATGCCAATGCTTGGTGATTCTGCTTTGGCCACAGAGCGGTTTGCAGGCATGTGTGTGCATGTGGGAATTGGGTAAGAAGCAATCGTCTTCGAACTAGAGCCGCCCTGACCGACAGTGTATTCAATATGTCGCAACCAAGCAAGCAGACGACATACGTTTCGTGCAACGTTGCAAATCACATTGCGGCAGTGTTGTCAGCTTGCCCTGATTGGGCTGGGCGATCACCCTATACCAACCTTAGCAGCTAAGCGTCAGGGTTTCTGCTCCCATAGTGCTGGCCCCTGGCTTCTGGCGCACGGGCGCTGAGAGCGCGAGCCTTCGAGTTTCTTCTGTCCTTCTGGTGACATGTGCAAGAGAAGTGCGCAGCTTGAGGTGAATCTGCGAGAGGAGCGGAGGTGCTGCTGTTGGTGCCCTTAGGATGCCTGCTTCTGGGCAGCATCTTCAGTTATCTGTTGCTCGTGTCTTGCTAGAGCAGCCAGAGCATAAAGCAAGAATCACCTGCTCGACGGAAACGCCTTGATTCGACTCATGAGCTTCTTCAGAGATGTTGTGCCAGCACTGCCTCGCGGACAAAGGATGAGGACTTCGACCCCTGGGCGACTGCAGTGGCAGACGGAACATCCTCTGCCTTGAAGAAGGCGTCGAAGAAGAAGATGCTCGGCCTGATTGCATGTTTAGTGAGATTGGCTTTCCCTGCAGCGTGAAATCTTTGGCCCTGTAAGATTTTGTTCGGGCATAGGCTGACCGTGCACAGGGGTGTGTGTCATTGTGTGTGCGCACCTGCGGCTGTGCCTTGCCATGTACATTGTACATGCATGGGACGTGCCGAAATATGTTTACGAGTCTGCCTGCGGGCACTGGTGTGCTTGAGTTTCCCTCGTGCTCCCGCCAGAGCAGAAAGCTGAAGTTGTCCACGTTGAAGAGCTCAAACTATGTTTGGCAGTTCACTGTTACCTTATCTAGGCGTCCTAGAACCAAGGATCCTCGTGTATGATCTTTCTGAAAACTGCCATTATTTCGGAGTCCTGTCCTCAGGGACGTCTGGGGCAGCTTCCGGGCCGGTGAAGCCGAAGCGCTCAGCGACTCAGAGGCTGCCAAGCCGGGTAAACAAGGCGCCCGGACTTTGACGCCGGACATCCGACACTTCAGGGACTTCAGGGTTTAGGGAAAAGGATTCAGGGCCTAGGGCTGCACTCTCTTTTGCATTCATCTCCTTCTTTCAGCTTCCTTCAGCCTCCTGCATCAATATGATGCTTCTTCAGACCTCCGGCCCCAGCCGGTGACTTGTCTTTTTGGAGCTATCTTCTTGTGCCTATATGATTTTAGAATGTATATCTGAAGGCCACCAATATCTAGATGGCAACTGCCAAAGACACGAGTGCCTGACACGACCTTTGATGGCCGCCTGGTGTGTGTGCGTGTGTCGCGCGTGTGACAGTGTATGTGTGTATAAGTGTATGATCGTGTACCTACACATATGTACAAGATACCGGCTTGGCATCGCGGCTGCACATGCGCTTCCGTCGGCACGTATGTACACGTGCATACTTGCAGTACTTTACCGGATGCGTACCGGTACGGAGACTTTTATCGACCTGTATAGAATCTGTATGTATGCACGTATGCATGTATGTGTGTATGTATGTATTGGTTTATGTATGTATGTACAAATATAATAGGAAAGTATGCACCTATATACATATAGACAAGTTGGGTCAAGTTGGCATACGTGGGTAGGTTATCGCAGCGGCAAGTTTTGGTCATGCATTACATGTGTACCCACATGCGCCTACATGTATATTTGTGCACATGCATGCAGGGACGCTTGTTTGCACGGATTTCTCTTCGTCTGCCTGCCTGCATCTGCTTGCGAGCAGGCATTGGCGCATATGCGCGGTATGTGCATCGGTGAAGTGTGCATGCATGTATCAGCTCCAGCACGATGGCATGTACATATGCAATACACATCAATACAATGAACATCTGACAGTGCACTGTTGCATGCATGTGCGACGGTCAGTACTTATCTTTGCAGGTACACATGCCTGAATGTCTCTGTGTGTGTGCGCATGCAAGTATGCATGCATGTATGCATATGTTCTTATGCAAGTACCTATGCATATATGTGCCTGTGTAACCGTTATGTACGTGTGCATGTATGTACGTTTGTATGCATATATGCACATATGTATGTATGTACCTGTGTATGTTTAGATAGGTTGCCAAGTAGGCAGATTCTTAGGTATGCAAGTATGTGTGTCTGTGTGCGAGTGCTAAAAAAATGTGTGTCTGTGTGTATGTGTGCACGTAGTTAGTTGGATCTAATCTAAGGGCACATGCACGTGTGTGTGTGTGTGTGTGTGTGTGCATGTGTAGATGTCTGTATGCACGTCCCAAAATCAGCAGACCTGTCTGTAGGTACCTGTGTGCATGACGTTTCTCTGTATGCATGCAGGCATGCATTGGGAGTCTATAACATGTCCAAACTCAGCATCCGTGCAGGGTCCGGCAAGAAGAAGAAGGGCGACAGCAAGAAGGCTGGGGGTTGGAAACATGTGCGGATCTGCTCGAAAAAGTGTTCTGAATTTTGCCTTCAGCCTAGCGGCCCTTCCGGACCAAACCTGGCGAGAAGAAGTGGCCTGGCGCGGGGGTAAGGGGGGGGGTCATTTTTGTTTGGTTTCGCCTGCCTCTGCTCCCAGATGCTTCTAAGGAGTGATGGATCACAAGATATCCGGTTCCGTGGAGTCTTGGAGCAACACTTACGGAGTCTTGATTGCAGCTAAACAGGGCAACCACTTCCCAGCTCCAACGATGGTCACACATTTCAGGCTGGATTCGGCCCTTCCAACATGTGGGGCACCCGAAAGCAAACAAACATGGAGGCTGGTTGTTGGAACAAACTGTTCTGTCGACACGACCGATCGTTGCACAAGCGCGCCGAAAAACATATCGCTCCTTGCAGGCAAACTTTACATCCACGCAAAGGACCTCGTAGGTGGCGTGGGGCAGCTGATCAGCAGTGGTCATGGGGAAAATCTCGGCGATTCCTCATATGATTACTCGCTGCAAGACTGGCAGCTTTGGATGAGGTTTCTTCCCACTGGCGCTTCTGTAGAATTCTACGTCTTCGAAGATGATGCCGGTCTTGGTGCAGAGGAGTGCGCTCTAGCAGAGTGGAGGCTCGTCTGCAGTTTCCAGCCGGGCCGCCATGTTAGCTGTCTCGAGAGCGCTTGAACTGATTGCCTGCATCCAAGGAACGGCAAAGGTGGCAAGGGCTGGGGTTCCAAGGGCTGGGATGCTGGCAAGGGGTGGGGCAAGGGCATGTGGGACATGGGCAAAGGCTGGGCCAAAGGCATGTGGGGCGGGTTTGATGGCTGGACCGGTGGTGGCAAGAAAGGCTGGGATGGCGGCAAAGGACGCCAACCGAAGACTTGCAGTTTCGGAGCGCAGTCTGTTCATTGCTAGTCGCTTCAGCTTCGCCTGCAGGATTCGGTGGCAAAGGCAAGGACTCCAAGAGTTCCGGAAAGGGAGAGCCGCTCCTTTGCAGATGTTCCACTTGGTATGTGGTCCCACGGTCCGCAGTACTTTGCCGAGGTGGGGCGGCAAGGAACGCTCAAAAGGAGGCCGTGCAATTTTCGGTTGGCAAGTGGGATGGAGATGGATGAGAGCGACACCTGTCGTGTGGTGCAGGCGATGGTGCCAAAGGTGCGGGCCGAGCTTTCGAGGGGTTCGGGGGTTCAGGCATGGTTGGACCTTGGGATACCTTGGGCAGACAGCCGGCCGGGGTTGGGGCGTCGGGATTCAGGTGGGGAGGGCAAGCTTAGGTATCATCATTCTAGGGTTTAGGGTCCCAGTCCAGTAGTCGGCGATCCTAAGCATCGAAATGAGGCGTCGAGTCTCGAAAGCTATCTGAAATCCAGGATCAATAGGATCAGTATAGGATCTCAAGTCCCAAGGTGCCAAAGATGGCAAAGGCAAAGCTTCCAAAGGTCGGGCTCGAGAGCGTGTGGGACGTTCTTCTGTGGAGCCTAACATCGGGATATGAGCTGAGAGGTTCTACGCAGACGGTTGCCGCCAAGGAGCCGCAACCAGGTTTCTCGGCTATGAACACCATAAGTCCACACAACAGCGTTGCTGGGTGAGAGGGTCTCGATTTCTTGCGTCGGCCGCTGTTGACAGCGCAGTGAAGTTCAGAACCTGTCGGCGCACGCCTATCCGGCTTGTCAGCCTGTATAGAACCCCACAGCACCTAGGGCAGGTTGCTCCGTGACTTCCCACTTGCCACGGCACCCAGTGTCGTGTGTCCATGGGTCGGACTCGACTTTTTTGGGGCGTTGCTGTATCATCTCGGTCACTGCTGGGTGCGTTCGCCTGCCGCTCGGTGAGGTGGCTCTGGGGTATGAGGGCCATACTGCTGCACTCGATCAGTTGCCTGTTCGGGTTCATGTCCCATTCAACCTACCTCTTTTGTTTGGGGGAGATGCTCGGGTTTGTAAGGTCGGGAAGACTCACTTCGGCAGTTGGTCCCGGGAAGGTTGTACTGACTGCTCGTTCGGGCGGCTTCGCTTGCCGATTTGCTCGCTCGGAGTTTTCGGTGGTCTGTCGGCTTGGCTCTCCCTTTCTCGTTCGTACGATGATGGGTGTGCCGTGTGGGGTCGCCTCGACTTGTTCGCGGTGATGTTGTATCACCTCGGTGATTACCCCACAACTCATCTTCAGCTTGGTGGTAGCACTGTTGGGGGTGCTCGTCTGTCGTTGAATCTCGTTGTCCCACTGCGTGCATCTGTTCGATATTGCTCCGGGCCGGCACCTGAAGAATTGCTGCGTGCGAGCGTGAGAGTCGACGCATTATTTGGACCTCGTCAATCGTTAGCGCCGCTACACCCATTTCCGCCATTGTCACCAAAGAGCAGTCCTTGTTGCAAGCTGGAGACGTCAATTGGTTGACAACCACCGAAAAGCGTCAAAAGTAGCTCTGCGCATAGGCCACTGTATGCAAAACAACTCGCCGTTTGGGCTGCCGACTACTCGAAGTGTTTTCGTCTAGCTTCAGGCTATTTCGCCGCCTGGACGTCAACGTCGTATCGATTTCCATCGTTATTCGACGGGCATGTTTATGTTGCAAATTCTCACCGAGTTACCGTGCATTGTATTCACCTCTTGCCGGATGTTGCCCTTCATGGAAGTGCCGGACACTGCAAGCTTTGCCGCTTGCGGTCTGGGTCTGCATGTCCGGCTTAAGCGGATAGCAAGCCGCCTGCACCAAAGCTTCGAGCCAGCGAGCTTTGACGTGAGAAGAACAGCTTCGTTCCTCGTCCTTGTCTTGGAATGATCACAGTTCCAAGCTGCCAACCGATTGAGGTGTAAGCGACTTCGACCAGGCCGGCTTCGCACGGCTTCGATGTAAGTGATCCTGTTGTCCGCTGAGCACGGGAGCACGGCGTGCTCTTGGAGACCTGCGAGGTTCATTCTGATTGGTCGCACTACACGGGCTTTGGCGGCTTGGCCGGTGCCACTGGGCCCAGCGCAGGCCGCAGCGGCAGCGGAGTTGTTGGGGGACCGGGGACCGTTGCGGGCATCGCGTTTCGGCAAAGGCAGTGGCTTCGCGGCAGCCACTGGGTGCACTGGCCAGGTCCGAATGCCGCAGACAGTTCACGTCAGTTTCGGTGCAGCCGCCTGCCAAAGCATGCATGTCTGTTGTGTGGCTCACCAGTTAAAGCTAGCTGGCCCAGATTTTCTAGCATTCGGCTTTCGTGGGCTCAGCAGTGCATTGGGACCGGCTCCGACATGGTGGTTCAGTGGGGAATCCTCGGCTGTGCTGGCATCGCACGGAAGTTTTGTGCGTCTGTCAGCCGCATCGACAATGCAGTCGTTGCCGCTGTGGCTTCAAGAACCGCAGGAAAGGCTGATGATTTCATCGCCGAGAACTGTCCTGGTTCCAAGGCTTATGCCAGTTATGAGGAACTGCTGGCTGATGCTTCGATAGAGGCTGTCTATATTCCTGTACCTACAACTGTCAAAACCGAGCTCGTGCTCAAAGTAGCGGCCGCGAAAAAACATGTTCTGGTGGAGAAGCCACTTGCCAGTGCGGCTGATGTTAAGTTGATGACCGACGCGTGCAAAGAGGCGGGCGTGCAATTCATGGACAATACAATGTTTCTGCACAATGCCCGGCAAGACTCCATCAAAAACGTCTTGAGTGACGGTGGCATGTTTGGCGATTTGCGACATGTAGACTCCACCTTCAGTATAGACTGTGCCAACGATGAGGCATGGTCTAGCGACAACATTCGCATGAAGAAATCCTTGGAGCCTCTTGGATGTTTGGGGGACCTTGGCTGGTACAACGTTCGTCTGACGCTCTGGGCCTTCCAGTACTCGCTTCCGACCAGCGTGTCGTGCACTTATGTGGAGCACACAGAAGAAATGGTCCCCACTCATCTTATGGCACAGATGCGCTTCGGCAACAAGACCGGCAGTTTCATGTGCTCCTTCAAGTCTGCTTTCCGGAACAATGCCGAGTTTGTCGGCTCAAAAGCCGTCTTATCACTCGAAGATTTTGTCGTGACCGGAAAGCTGGACGCAGCGAGCTACAAGGTCACACAGACCACTTTTGGTGCGAAGGACGAGACCTTTCCACTCGTGACCCTGAAGGATGAAGAGCTGAAAACCGGCGTTCAGCATGCGAAGCTTGTGGAGACGTTCTCCAACTTGGTGTCCTCGGGCAAAGTGGACGAAGCATGGCCCCAACAAACATACCAAACTCAGCTAGTCTTGGATGCAATGGTCAAATCCGCTGAGCAAGGCGGCATTTGGATCTCTTTGTAATAGTCTTGGATGTAGTTAGGTCAATTTTCAGTCCATGTCAAGATGCAAAGCTGTCGAAGACAGCAATCGAAAACACACGTTGCATGCTGGAGTGTTTGCGGTTTGCGATGCTTCCTTAGACAACTGCTGGATTGTTTTGGCAGCCAGCCTTTGCAAGTGCCCTGACCTTTGGAGGCCCCGTGCCGCAACTCGGATGGAAGCGGGTATCTGCAACGAGCTTTGAAGGTGATGTCTGTCGACGAAAGCAGGGGTGAATGTTTGTCAAACTCAGAAATGCGACAGGGCTACATGCTCGTCTAAATCCAAGGACAACCAATCACAAGTGCCGCCGGCACTGCCCCACTGCTTGGTGCCAGTGCAACCATGAAGTGCCATGGCTGAGCTGTACTTGTACTTCAGAACACTTGACATGCGGATCCTTTGCCCTGAGGCCGATGGGCGGCAAGCCTCTACAAGGTGCCGCTCTTTTGCGCAGCGCAATGTGCGAAGAAGATTGGGCTTGCGCCAACCACCAGCACACCTGCAGGAGGGGTTCCGGAAGCAAGCTGGAGCGAGGCTGTGGCGACAGGGTTTTTGATGTTTAGTAGGCTCTTTGTAGTCCTCGGCATTCCTGAAGGTTGCTCCACCAGCTCCCTACCTGAAACTTGGCTGCAGTCTGGCCGTCAGGCTGTCGCTTCTTGCACATCGCTGCGCTGTGCAGGATGAGCAGTGTGGGACCAGCTCCTGTGCCTGCAGCTGGCTTCTCAGAGTCGGTGTCGGCAGGGATGGCAGGCCCTCAGAAGAGCGCAAAGCTTGCCATCAGGCCATGGGAAGCATGCATGTGAACCCGGTTCCTTACGGGCTTGAAGCTGAGAGGCTGGCTTGAGGGGCCTGAATCGGTACCTCGGTGGCCCCGGAGTGTAATGCGGCGTCGAAGAACGTCACTTTTCTTGAGGTCCTACAGCATGATGCCCGGCATGCTCAACCCGACCGTGCCACAGCAAGTAGCAATGAGACTAAGCTCACCATAATGGTTGCAAATGTCTAGGTTTCGACAGACGCCAAGCGAGCGGTTGTAAATGTCAAGCTCAGGAGCAATCCAGCAGCTTGGTGCGAATTGGTACCAGCCGACAAAGTTAGCTTGTAAGCACGTGATCACACATGCATTGAGGAGCACTTGTAGAGAAGAGTCTTGTTTCTTTGCGAGCCACCCCTGCAGGCTATGGGCTTGGGAGCCGGACTTTATCATGCTCATGCCCGGTCGCTGAGTTTCTGGATTTTTGGGGCGGTCAAGAGGGGAGCGAAGTCGACCACTACATGGAATTCAGGTGCCGCCCCCTCCTCCAGGCGGTCCAGGCCCGAACGTGACTCGGATGGCTGCTTGCCGTGCAAGTTTGCGCCGGGGCAGGTCCGTACGAACGCCCAGTTGAGGGGGTGCCGGCTGGAGCTGTTGGAGCTTGGCCGACCTGGACTGGCTAGGACGCGACATTCCTTTCTCGATCCGACTCTCCTGCCGTTTCCGCAACTGAGACTGGCAGGATCTTTCCAGGACTTCCATGCGATGCGGTGACTTTGACCGCCCTGAGACCTGCGGGGAGGAAGATAGCTGTCAATCTCTTCCCCTCTCCACGATTTTCACAAGATCTTCTGAGGCTCCGCACAGTCAACAGCAACATCCAAACGCCAAGTGTCATGCGAGCAGTACCTAGCAAAGCAGCTGTATCAGATATTAGGCCTTTGACGATGTGACGAGCCATATTCGACCAATCTGCCTGGATAAATGGAGACCACCTCTTGCTGACCAAAGGTGTTTCCGTCGCCAGAGTGGAGGGTTGTGTTCTTTGTGGCAGCGGCCTCTAGCTTTGGGGGCCGTGCTGCCTGTCAGTGTATCTGATTGTGCATGGCAGTGAGTAGATTGTGCTGCTTCTGCTGCTGTCCACACATGTGATGATGCTTTGCTCTCAGACGGTGTCTGTTTGGCACGAGGCATAAAGAGGCAGGAGGTGAGGGCGAGGAGTGCTCCGCGTGAGATGGACAGCAAGCGCACATTGTCGTAGCTTCTCCGAGATTGGCAGTCATCTGCCATCAACAAGGTGCAGCTTGTTAGGCTGAGTTGATCCGACGCGGATCACTCACGGGCTGATGTTGACTATCTGCTAACGAGATCCAAAGAGGGAAACGACCGGCAGCTCCTCGCAGCACCTTGCCTGTACTCCCCAAGTGTCGCTGCATGGAAAAAGAGCAGTGCTACTAGTTGCTGCCACTTCCTGTCTGCTGTGGCTTGTCACGGTTCGCGCATCCAGCGTGCAGAGAACTTTGACAAGGAGAAATTCAGCATCCTCCCGCGGTTGGCAAACATCTTTGATGCCACTGTGTCCAAGCCAGCCTCTCAGTAGCCATCGCTTATCGCGAGTCTGCTCGCAAAGTGATTTTCTGTGGTGGTACTGCCCATCAGGCGTGTCAAAGTGACTCGATTCATAGACTACGCTCCCATGGTGTTCCAGCGGGATCCTTGTATGGCGGGACTTCAACTGACTCGGGTAGCACAAACCTACGTGCCTGAAGACTGTATCTGTAAGGCGGATACGTGCCAGCTTTGGAATCCACAGCGACGACTATCTTCGCTCAGTCGGGCCCGAGCAGCTGCTGGGCAACATGGCTCTCGGCCTCAGGTCACATCAAGCTTCGAAGTGAGACAGCAGCCATTCTACTTCACAAGGTCTTGGGCAACTTGTCCTCCCTGTCGGAGCTGTCCTCCGAGGGCAAGAGTCATGATCCTACCTACGGCGTACGGTCTATGCAGCATTGTGATTTGCTGAAGCTTTGCCTTGTGGAAAGTGGGGTGTGAAGGTGGTGCCTTTTTCTACTACACATCGGACGGGCGCCTTGGCAGCCGCACTGCCGGTTGTGCCAGGGTGATCGGAGTATGTCGACTGTCCATAAGCACTACTTGGAAGAGAAGTTTTCCCTCAGACCGGTGCAATGTGTCTTCCAAACAGCCGAGGAAATACATGATGAAAACCGTCACGCACAAGGCCGCTTTGCAAGAGCGGACTTCGACCAACCCTGACGTTCACACACTGATGGGCCGATGATGTTGCCAGGAGCAGATGTTGCTCAAGAAAATGCTGAAGAAGTATTATGTGGCTCGGCCGCGAAACAGCTACATCCAGCACCGAGACAGGCGTGCACCGCACGGGCAGAGCTCGGGTTTGAATTGCAAAGAGATGGTTTCGAAGGTTGCAGCATAGCATCTCCCCCACGTGAAGATAAGCAGATTCTTCGGATGTGGGGCCTCCCGCAAAGTAGTCTTTGATGTCCGCCGACGCTGGGCGTGACATCTCATTCTAATCTTCATACCCGGACACCAAGGATCACATCACGCAGAACCAGGGCACACTTCTGGTGCGATTCCTGGGGTTGCACAAGCCTCAGGGGCGTTTGGTGTTTTCGCAGAATCCACCCGGGGATTGAGCGTCGCGACAGCGAGCTATGCAAGGTTCAGCTTCTCTTGAATGAATGCTTCGGAGTGGGAGTCGAGTAACAACATTCTGTCAAACTCTCGGGCCAGGCATGGGACGGTTTGTCTTTGGGCGCACACCGTCCGTCCGTGTGTGTGTGTGTGTGTGTGTGTGTGTGTGTGTGTGTGTGTGCTTCTCGCCCTTGCTAAGGCATTGCCTCAGCGTCCACAAGAATCGCAAGGCCGATGGTCGTGCACTGCCAGCTGCAGCCATCCCGTTGTTGTAAGAATCGCCCAGCACTGGGAGTTGTTCTTTGCTGGCAAATGCTGCTCCCTAAAATGGCAGCACACTGATGAGTGTTTTGTTCGGTAATTTATCCTGCTATTTAAACCCACAGCCTGCTGGCGCATCGATCTGATGCTCTGATGATCTCTGACGATGTGTTTGTGCTGGCTTCATTCGGCGTGCTGGCTGGGGGCTGGCTGCCTTTTGCTGACCTGCCACTGCCCCATCTCTTCCGAAAGGCGAAGTCAGCCCCGCCCCTGGCCCTGGTCCCTTTTGGCAATCTTGCAGCCTGCCAATCATGTGTCACTGAGCGCCAGGGTCCCAGACTGGCAAGGAGACCTCTGCAGCTGTTCTTTCGTTGCGGTCCGTTTGGTGGACGTCTTGGCAGATTTCTAAGATGTGAAGCGGCAAGAGGCATGTTGGCCTGAGTCTGCAGTCAAGCCTGCGAGTTAGGGTGGTGGAAATGGGTGTGCTTGATGTCAGCCGTCATGCGCGACCTCCCCGCGCGCACAAGAACCCCGGGCCAAACCCCTGGTTGACCCTTGGGTGTGAGTGTCGCAGACACTCGCGCGGTTTCTTTTCAGGATTTGTAACTCTGGACAGCGACTATGGCTCTGTTGCTTTGCATCCATTGCTGTTCTGTGCAGGGCTCGGCCGTCCAGAAAGTGTACTTCGTCGCAGCAACCTCAGCATCCCGCAGCCTGTTCGGCTTTCTGATGCTTTCTGTCTTGGTAAGCATCGATTGGAAATGCCGGTTCAGGCACAGGCGAGGGACCCGCCCCTTTGCAGATGTAACAGCAGGTGTGATCATAAGTACGGACGTACACGCGCATGTGTGTGTGTACATATGTATATATATATGTGTGTGTCTGTGTATTTACACATTTGAGAGAGAGGTGCTCATCATAGAGGAAAAAGGGCATGCGGCCTGCTGTCTGCATCAGCATGCTTGCTTCTGCGTGTGCCTGTGTTCATTGCCATTGTGCCCCTGTCTCCCTCTCTTCAGCTCCCACTCGCCCTCTCTCCCTCGCTATCTTGCTCGCTATATCTCTCTGTCTCTCTCTCCGTCCTTCTTTGTGTTTCCTCTCTCCGTATCTTTCTGTCTCTCTCTCTCTCTCTCTGTCTTTCCGTCACTCTCTGTCGTTTTCCGTCGTTCTCTGTTTCAGTCTCAGTCTCTCGCTCTGTTTCTTCATCTCCGTCTGTCTCTACCTGTCTGTCCCTCTCACCCTCTCACCCTCTCACCCTCTCAACCTCTCACCCTCTCACCCTCTCACCCTGTCACGCTCTCACGCTCTCACGCTCTCACGCTCTCACGCTCTCACCCTCTCATCCTCTCACCCTCTCACCCTCTCTCCCTCTCCCTCTGTCTCTCTGTATCCACCCCCTTGTCTCTCTGTCTCTCCCTCTGCCTTTTCCTCTCCCTTTTCTCTGTCTCTCTCTATCCACGCCCCTCTCCCTCTGTCTCTCTGTACCCAGCCACTTGTCTCTCTGTCTCTCTCCCCCTCTAGCTCCTTCTCTCGTGCCGTCTCCCCTATTCAAACGTGTTTGCCACAGTCGGCAGAGGTCATGGGAAATATGTTCAATACCCCTTTCGAGATCCACAGACGGTACGACCTCAAAGGCTGGGGCTTGGATTGGAACTGTTTTGGCCTCATAGTGACGGTTGCCTGCAGGGACCGCGCGGGGTGATGTTTGCCAGTGGTGGTTGCAGTTGGAGCGGCGTGTGGTTGGTGGTTGTGTGGGCAGAGTTTGTTTCTAGCAGCAGTCTAGGACGCCAGCATGCTTGTACCTCTCTGAGCTGCGAGGAATCATATATGTCGAACTGGTTCTGGTGTGGAGTTTGGGATAATCTCCCTGTTGTGGGCAGATTTGGAGATAGATTGCTTTGGAGCCAGCCAGCCCATGATTCACATTGTGATCGAGCCTGGTGCAGGTTCCTGGGTTGGCCGTGTCACGAAGGAGGAGGACAAAGATCCATCAGTTGCCCTCAAGGCCACGCAGAACAATCGTCTTTTGCGAGCGGCCTGCATGGTGTGCTGTAGCAAACGAGCGGCGCACCTCGTGAAACACAGCCGCAGGATGTCGATTTCACAAAGGCGAATGAATCCATCCTGGTTGGTCCAGAACGGAAGGCAAAACTTGTGGCGCAGATCGAGAAAGACAGCCAGGGACCAGCTTCAGACCTAGCACTCTGGAGCAACGCGCCATGCGTTTGCTGAGGCATCTTCTTGCGGGACAATAACATTATAGACTATTCCTTGCTGTTGGGCGTCTACTTGCTGGAAGCTCGGAAGTCTGGCGTCATCCGAGCCTTATAGCTCCAGCCTTCACTTGCCATGTACCGAGGCTTGGTGGCCCGTCTCCGTCCACCGAAGACAAAGGCAGCACTCTCTCTTCCTCAATTCGAGGACCACCCTGAAGTCATCTGCAACGCAGGCGAGAACCCAGAGAGCTGCATGGGGCCTGCCTCCTGGACAATGGGTCTGCGCATGGATCTTTCTGCCTGTGCAGATTGGAACGAGTCAGGCTGAGGGGTGCCACTGCAACTGCGCAGATGGCAACTGGGGCCACGGCGGGGCACAGTTGCTTGAAGGTCGTCTTCTTTTTTCTGTGATGACAAAAGTGTGCTGGTTCAGGTCCGCATGGCTTCATCGGACGAACTGCATGGCGAGGCCTGCCAACCCACCCTGCTATGCCCACACTCCATACATCGTTGCCGCGCATGCGAGCCCATTTTTGTCGCTGCAGGTTCCATTCCATCAAGCCCACATGGGTGGCATGCTGTCCTCTGACCAGAAGGCCGTTGGTGACGCATGAGTGGCAATAACATCATTGTGTGGATCGCAAGCAGACAGGTCTTGTACTTTCTGGGCATCATTGACATCCTGACACCGTACGACAGCAGAAAACACTTGGAGCATTGGTTCAAGGACTGCTTTCAAAACAGCGTGCCTGCCGTTTGGAAAGCCATCTTGTGACAAGAAGCATCTGGCTGTCAGGCGCTGCGCTACGACCGCAAAGGGGTTTCATGCTGCCCTCCTGCCATGTACGCGGAGCGGTTCAGTTCTTTCTTGAAGAACTGTATACACTGAGAGGCATATTGCGCTGCAAATGATGTTGTTTATTCCCTCTCTGAAGATAGTGGACCGTGACATGCTAGCATGGGATCTGCAGCAAGAAGTCCCCTACTATATGGAGCAAACCCCTACTTGTGAGCCAGTTTATCGAATCTTAGTGCTGTCCGGGCTCGATGAAGCTCACAATTCACGTTTCACTTCCCAGACTTTGCATCGAACCTTTCCGTGCCGTGCGTTTAGGAACGTCGGGCCAAATCATTCTCGGTGCATGGGTGGCCATGACTGAACTGTTGCTGCTGGATGTTGAACACACAGCTTTGACAAGAAGAAGCACTGTCACTGCACATTGCCACCCGACACGTGTCTAGTAGGATCTTTAAGTTCGCTTCAGTCCCGGCAAACTTCAATGACGGTTTGCCAAATTCGGTTTCACATTGTCATGTAAAGGCCGTGGAGCATCTCAGGGCGCTGACAAAGCATGCAGGACATCTAACAAGGTTGGATTGCCCCTTGCATGTTTTGGTCACGAACCCTACTGCGGATAGACTTGAGAAGAGCACTTACGTGCCGAAGGACATAGTTAGCTGTTTCTGCAAACCTTCGCAGTAGCCGCTGCTCGGCATAGAGAAAGAAAGATGTACAGGCATTGCTACCACGAACATCAGCCACCGTCGCACGCTCACGCGTGGTGGTGTGCTGCCTGAACCGATCGAAAACTCCTGCTGTCCCACTTGCAGGGGATAGGGGGTAGAGTGTTGATGGCTGCTCTGGGTGCTGCATCGATTAGTGGATGGGAAGTGCGGTGGATGTTGTGCACTTCAAGGAGTCGCTAGCATTTATCAGATTCGGACATGCAAGGATCCCACAGAATGCTCTGCTGCTGCACTTTCATCCCAACACCTCCGACGCCCCCGCCATGTAACAAGCTAGTATTTTGGTTTTCAGTTTTATATACAGGTGAAATCCGCGGTTGTCGCCATGGCCGGGAAGAGACAGATCTCAGAGTCTCAATTGGGGGAGCACCTAGCCTGGTACTTGACGAGCAGACCTACCCCGGTCGGACGACTCGAAGAAGAATTCGGGCACGAGCAGTGTCCGGACAAGCAGTATGCCAGGCTTCACGAGCTCCGCCGCGCGAAAGTCGGCCCAGCCGATGCGACCAACTCGATAGATCTCGGTCAACTCATCGACTACCTAGAGGCAGAGTTGTACGACAAGCAGTTGAAAGAGCGAGCTGAACAGTACGAAGCCGCTGTGCGCAGCGGCAGAGCCATTCCGGAAGGCGCCGTGTACAGCTACCAGCTGGAAGGCCCATAGCGAGTTGCGAAAGCCAATGCGCATGCCAAACTTGAAATAGAGTCAAGCACTAGGGTATGTGTCAGTCAAGCTCGGATGCAACGTTTTCTTCCCTTCAGGCCAGGCAGCACTGGATGCATACGTCTCGCAAATCGTCGCCGCCGTCAGGGACTTCCCGTTTCTCCAACTGGCAGGTGGGAGGGTAGCAGGCAGATGGATTCGCGACGAGCTTGTTGCTCCCGTTTTTGATGGCCATTGGGATTTCTATTCGAACCGGAAGATCAACGACGGCTTCGACTTGAACCAGTTCTACCTACTGCTTGACGGGGAAAACATGCTGATTCAGAGGCTGAGATATGCTCGCAAGACCCTGCAAATGTAGCCAGGATTGAGCACTCTAGCTTGGTTTCACTATGTTCCTTTACCACACGGGTCATTGCCTTTGCCGCGACGGCAATGGCTGTGGAGCCGAATGACTGTCTCCGTGTATAGAAGTAAAGGTTGTTAATGGGTGTCGCTGCAGGCGGTGGGCACACTTGCACTGTGAAGGCAAGCGGTGAGCTGGTGCCACGTCCTGCCAACTTTGGGCCCTGTGGGGGCCCTCTCTGCAGGCGATGCACATGCGCCGTGAAGGCCAGCGGGCTGGCATGCTTTAGGGACGACCCTAAAGGCCAGTATGTGCCGGCAACTTTGGGGCTTTCTGGTTCTCCGGAGAGCCACACACATATAGAAGCTAAAGTTAAAAATGGTTCGAGCTTTTGACTCCGCTTTTGACTCTCATTGGCAAGGCAGGCAACCTTCTTTTGCCTTGCACTGGCGAGCTGTTGAACTGCCACTTGCCGGGAACGAACACGAGGATTCCAAGGAGGCTTCCATGGTCTTGCCATGTTGTAGCGTTGTGACAAGTACTTTGAGATTTCATTGGCATCCCTGCCGATTTGGCGAGGCGTGAGTCGAATGCTTGCCACGTACACTGTACCAGATAAGTGCGGGTCGGGGCTTTGTGGGTAGCAAACTGTGAACAGTTTGCAGTGGCATGCCTCAGCCATGGCGGCCTGCAGCATTTCAAACGTGAAGGCAGGGGCAGGGGGGAAGTGTCCTTTGTTTCCTCAGCCTTCAGCCGTTGCAGTGGGCTGTTAAGCTTCCTGCTGTCTTGCTTGGCAGGTGTTAACACCCACGTCTGACGCTGGCCCCGAGCCGTGCAGAGCCCCTCGGCCAACTTTAGATGTTCGAGCTCTTGTTTTCAGGAAGCATCGCTTGCAAATGCGAGTGTGAGAAGTGATGGTGCAAGCACTCCGCCGGAGTTGCCGGTGCTGTCACGAAACTAGTTTTGGCATTAGGCGCAGAACTTGTTCGGGTGCTTATCAGGTCCTTCAGCAATAGTTTATGTGGGAGGAAGCAACTCCCACCGCACACCGCACATGATTGATTCAAAGGCAACAATAAGGTGGGGCCTCTTTTTCGTCTCCTTCAGGTCCACCCCCTCTGCTTCCTTAAGGTCCGTTGTCAGCATCTTGACAATGCTTGTGCATCTAGCCGTTACGCTCGACCTAATAAACAAGTTGCAGCATCGCAATCTTCGCTACATAATTGAAATGAACAAAGCTCGACATAAGGCCGAGCTTCTTTCCCCTTTCTTTCATATCCTTCTTCTCCAGTGTAGAAGATCGAAATGACGAAGTGGCAAGGTCGAAGATGACTTGGTTTTCGAGGTCGGTGTGCTGTTTTTTCCTGCGTGGTTTCGGCCTCGCCTCGAATGCTGCTCAGATTTGCTCTTCTGTGATAGCAACAACAATATGACAAGGTGTTGGCAAGGTTGCGTTCAGCCTTTTTGTGACTACTACAAGCATCGTGTATCATCATCCCGTGCCGACTCTCTCACACAGGGCTGTCGGAGAGTCAGGGCTGAAAGGATGCGGGCACGCTGTCTATGTTGCCGACAAGTGAAACAGCGACTTCACTTCCTGTTTCACGGTTTCCCATCTTGCTGAAGGTGGTATTTTCAAGTCGGTATCAACAACGTAAGATCAAGAGCACTAGCAGGAAATCCGGGGAAGGAAGCCCCGCAGAGAAACTGCACGGCCCCCTCTTCCCTCAAAGCAAGCATTGGTGGCTCAAAGGATCTTCGAGAGTTGTGACAAGTGCTTTATGACGAAGCATGTGGCAGGTCACTCTGGACGTGATGCAGGCTCTGAAGGAAGATCTGCTCTTCCGCTGCATGTACGTGACAGATTCAGGCAGACGTGCTGTAGACCTGGAACTTGAACTTGCTGACTGCCCTGCCTGGTCAGCCTCTGGCAAAGACGTGGAGCTGGAGTCCATCGATGTCGGAGATGGCCCGGGTGTGCGACAGGCCTCGGGATGGTAGGGACGCCTTTACGTTAATGCAAAGGCAAGCATAACATGGACGAAGGGAGTGCAGCGCTTCCGCTTCGAGTCCAGCCCTCCAGCTCAGTCGGCCATAGAGGCCAGGAGTTCTTTGACGGTGTTCTTGATTCTTGATGCATTGGGTAGTCTGCCTGGTCTTGCATCCATGACAGGTCGTTGTGTGTGTGTGTGTGTGGGTTACTGCCAGGCTAGTGGTGGCCCGCTTGAAGTGGTCGCAACCCCGGGATGCTCAACATGCCAACCAAAACGTCCTACGGTCGTATAGGTGCTTTGTGTTTCAAGTTCTTCTTTCATCTGTTCTCCGACACGGCACAACACGGTGACAGTGAGCTTCCTTACCGAGGCCGGGCTTTACCTTTCCGCCGTGTACAGAGGCACGCCGCGAAGCCTCTGGGTGTCATGCTTGCATCCTTCCGCGATGTTCCGCGTAACGCCACGGAGGAGAAGAGTTCTGCAGAGTCGGCTACTATGTGCCACTTCGCAGCAGATACTTCCATCTAGGGCCTAGGGCACTGGCAGACCAAGAGGCGCCATGACTACGACGACCCAGCGCTCCAGGAGAGCTGTCTACAGCTGGCGACAGAAGCTTCTGTTAACTGAAACCACTGCAGCTTGAGAGGAGGATCCACCTGCTACCGTGGACTGGGCTCGTCTTCGTCGTGCTAGTGTCTTAGCGTGCCGGAGCATGCGGATTTTGCAAGTCATGTCTGCAGTCTCTCTATGAGGTGCTGAGCGAGCCTTGTGTGACGAAGTTCCAGATTGCTTGGGACGCAACTGAGGCGGTGGTTTTGTTACCTAGGACTGTTGTGCGCAACAGAAGTCAGCTGAAGGCAGATCATGGGCGAAAACGTGTTCGCGAGGAGGAAGGGAAAGACGGGCTTGGCAAGCCCTGGTCACATTTCCTTCCGTGCTGCGAGGACGCCGGCCTTTGCGCAGGGGGAACATGGGTGGGCTGATCCTGCCGCTTCTCGCCAGCTGCGCCAAAAGTGTCATGCTGTTTGTACCGCCATGAGGTTTCCTCACGGAATCTGATGACTGACCGAACCGCTTCTCAATCCAGCTTGGCTGTGCCAGCATCGCTTAAACGCATCTTTCACCCTTGCCGTTGCAAAGATATGTCGTAGAGCGTGTTCGGTTTTAGCTTGGCCAATGGTCAACCTACCCTACTCGCATGATTCCATGACCACCGGCCGTTTGGTCTACAACAAAGGATGCGCTCACTACAGACAGTGATAAGATGCGGTTCCAAACCAACTCTTCTGTGTCATGACACCATAATACTGATTGACTGCTGCCGCGCCCAGCCACGCGGTTGGGCCATGGAGTGACGTCTCACATGGTGGGCCACCCAGCCTTCCACCAAGGGTTGGACATAGACCGGTGGAATCTACTCACTTGAGTTCGAAGATCTTTTTGAGCTTTGTGTTTAGTGCGCGGCCAGGGGCTCCAAGATTCTCGAGCCGCGCGCAAACGATGGATGGAGATGCAGATGAGGTGGCAGATGTGTTCGCCTGAAGACTTGCGTGGGATTGCGGGATCGGGTGCCCGAGTCTGATTAGCGCGACTACGGCATCCCCAGAAAATCTAAGAATCCTTCGGCCCATCTCAGTGCCGGCTGTGTGCTGTCAAGAACGGTTGCCCAGGCATCTTCGAATAAGGTCCGCAATGCAGCAGCCAAGGCCAGGAAAGGGGCAAAACCCAAGAAGGACAAGCAGGCGAAGGCCAAAGCCGATGGGAAAGCGCTGGGCTTGGAGGTGTATCGAACGCATAGTGCAGGATGAAGATGTGGCTGTATTGGAAGACCAACCCGCAAGGGGTCAAAACGACATCTTGTGTTCTTGATCTCTTGTCGCACTGTCGCGCCGTTCGTTTGCCATCTGCAACTAGAGCGCAAAGACCGTATTTTTTGCTGCTTGCGCTTGAGGCCAGGAGATCTGGCTGGGATCCGCCACCGTTCAAGGTCCTGCTGCCGGCTGCAGACTTTCATGCAAATGCCTGGAAGCTTCGATGCTCAAGGTACCTCCACGACTGTGGCCCGGGGAGAGCTCTATGATGGGCCTCCCGGATCGTCAGGAGAACGAGTGGTGATCTTAGCAGTTTAGTGTCCGTCTGGCAAGCAAAGTCGTCCTAATTCCCAACGGAGCCACGGCAATGGGGCTGCAGCTGTTTCTTCTGCATCTCCTCGGCACGTTCGGGCTCAAGAGACCGAGTCTTACCTGCTCCTGGAATGCTTCCCTGAGGCCGTGATAGAGCCGTTTGGCAGGTGTGGCATCGCAGACATTCTTGTGAAGCCACGCACAGGCCCTGTCCTGTTCAAGCATGCGGGGTGCACACAGATCGCCGCTTGGGTAGAACTGTTCATCTGAAGATATGCTCTGTCTGTGCACGTCCGCTACGCAGCGTTTTCCCTCTCAGCTTCGCACCCGGAGTTCCGTTAAGGTTTGCACGGCAACATCTAGCGTCATGGCGAGGACACGTCGCAGTGCTGGGCATTGAAGTTGGTCAGGTCTTGGTCCTGCAGCAACACTGGAATTGGAAAGCAGGGGATGGAAGTATGAGAACGCAATACTGTCATCATCTCGCAGCGCCGTTTCCACCAGCCCTTTCCCTTCTGCGGCACACACACAGCATTATCGCCGCCAGCAACAAAGAGGTGCCGCAAGTGGCAGTAGCAGCGAGAAGTAGTGGTAGGAGTCGTGGCGGTGGTGGTGGCGGTGGTCGTCGTGGTAGTAAAAGTATAGTAATAGTAGAAGAAGTAGTAGTGGCAGCAGCAGCAGCAGGAGTAGTAGTAGTAGTAGTCGTCGTCGTAGTAGTAGAAGTAGCAGTAGAGGTTTCGAAGTGCCATGAGCGGCTCAGGCTACGGGGGGAGAATGACAAAGCCTGGAGATCCCGTCTTCAACCTAAGGGCCCGGTAGACCAGGCCTGAACCGGAAGGAAACACAGCTTGGCTTCCTGGGGAAGTCTGCTTCCGCGGCGCTGGCTTCTTGTAGCCGCGCGCATGGAACACACCCATCTTCCACTACATGACGATAGATCCGGTTCTGCTCCCTCCTCACTGCATAGGCAAGAACAGCTTCGCTCGCCCCGGTCCCAATTCCGGGTACCAGCTCAACTATGGCAAGGAACACGCTCCATTGCGCTGGTAGGCACGAGGGTTGTGGGTGGAGCCTCAGACCCCACTAGAGCCCTTTCGAGGGCGAACAATGAGGCGACAAGGCCCGAACAGCGACAAAGGGCCTCAAGAGTGTGCAACAGATCTTACAAAAGGGCCTTAAGACGAGCTGCAATAGAAGGCTCGGCAGTGTATCAAGGTCGTCGGATTCGCTTCTGGCAACCGGAAATTCCTGCCGAAACAAATGCTCCATCACAACAGCGTGAGAGACGATGGGAGCAGCCGCGTATCTCTAGCGCCACGTGGAATTGCTCAGGGCTATCCATGGAGCTTTTCCTGGAGATACAGACATGGCTCAAAACGCAGCCTGCCATAGGCATTATTGCACTGCAGGAAACACATTGGTCACTGCGAGGAGAGTGGCAGTCAGGAGAGTGGTATGTGTTGCATAGTCCTGCCAAGAAGCCTAAGCAAGGTGGTGTGCTTCTGGGCATTAGAAAAGATCTTCTTTCAGATTCACATCATAGCTGGAATGAACTCGAGCCGGGCAGACTTTTACACTGGCGTGGCAGACTTGGCAAGCAGATGTACGACATATTCAACTTGTATCAGCATCCGCTGTCTTATCATACCTCGGAACAGCAGCAACAGGTCATGAGATACCGACGCGGGGTCTGGCAACAACTTGACAAGGCTATGTCGGCGCTTCCATTTCGCACGGCCATTCTTCTCATGGGGGATTTCAACATGACACTTCAGCCTTTAGCCAAAGTGGCTGGCAATGGCATTCACAGTGGCGGCCAGTCAACAGAACTCAGGCAGGAGCGCAGTGATGTCATGGAAATTCTTGAAAGACACAGATTGGTTGCTCTCAACACGTGGGGACGCAAGCAACACACATATGTGCATCCGTCGGGACGCTCACAGATCGACTACGTGTTTATCCGACAGCAACAGGCTGACAAACAAGCCAAGGAATGTGGTGTCGTGAAAACTCCGCTTGCAAGTTGGCGAACATCTGGACACGAGATGCTGCTGGCGAGCATTAAACAAGCCTGGCAGCCTTGGAAGCAACAGGGACGACAAGTCAAAGAGGCGGCCCAACAGGCGCCTCCACTACATGAGATGAGCTTACAGAGATGTCCGGTACTTTCTGATCTTCAAGCATGTCTTCGTCAACATCACAACATTCCATCGCCTAATCCGGAGAAGCCAGGACTGCGCATGGTTCATGCTGAGATACTTGCCATTTGGAGGGATCTTGCCCGGGCTAGGTTCAGGTTCTCTCGGGGTAAACTAGGTCGTCTTTTCGGAGCATGGCAACTTGCGATGCTCAAGTGTCGCGCGCGGCGGGAGGTCAAACGCATTGCCAAGCAACGCAAACGAGAGCAGATTCTACAGATTTTATCTCTGGCCGAGAATGCGGACGCCCAACATCAGTCCCGGGATTACTATAAGTACCTTAGGATGGTTGCCCCTAAAACCCAGCGTCAGAAAATATGTCTGAGGGACAAGGATGGTCAGCTTCAGAATCCAGATCAGGAGTGTATGCAGCTCACTGCCTATGTGAAGGGCCTCTTTTCTGGGCCACACTTCGAGGCTCCGGAGCAGGAGCCCTTGCCTGCAGAATGGTTTGTTCCTTCAGAATGGGAAATAGCCATCAAACAGTTGCAGAATCACAAAGCTGTTCCCAAAGGGGCTGCGAGCATTCAGACTTGGAAAGTGCATGCACATGAGGTTGCTCCGATACTTCAGAAAGTGGCACAGAACTCTGTCTGCAGCCAAAATCCCCATATTCCGGAGGATTGGTCTCAGGTCCAGCTTGCATGGCTTCCCAAGCCAGGTAAGAGTACGGCTTCCCCCCAGAACCTGCGTACCATAGGACTTATGGGCGGAGATACCAAAGCATGGCTTTATATTCTGAAGAAACATGCGAACCCTTACGTTCAGCAAGCGCTTCGGGATATCCCGCAATATGCATACAGGGCTAGGGCATCTACTGCTGATCCCCTTCTGCGCGCAAGTGCACATTGTCAAGAAGTGCGTGAACTGCTTGCCAGCTGTCAAGATGATCTGACGTCTCGCTTGACCAATCAATCGCAGTCCCTGATTCTTGGTGGCTTGATGGCAAGTATAGATCTCTCAAAGGCCTTTGACTCCATCACTCATGAAGAGATGTACCTGGCCCTCATTGATACTGGCATGCCCTCTAATCTGGCTGGTGTTCTGCTTCGGATCCATATAGATACCAAGCTTCATGTGGTGCATAAGGGCCATACTCAAACGGTGCAAATGGGCAGAGGCTTGCGACAGGGATGTGCCATTGCTCCAATGATTTATGCTGCATGGACATGCCGACTGTGCAAGCAATTATCCCAAAAGCTCGGGGAAGGATGGCCGCTTCGTCATGCCTCAATTTACGCGGATGACAAACATGGCTTTTGGGTCATACGAGGACCTGAAGGCCTGGATCGGGCGCGACGGGAACTAGGAAGCCTGATTCAGATCATTACGCAGTTAGGCATGACGGTCAATAGTGCTAAATCCAAGGTGGTCATTGCACTTAAGGGTCGCTGTCATCTTCAAGCGATGAAACGCATTACTCGGCAGTGGAATGGACAGCTGTGCCTTCTTGTTCCGTCCGGAGACACTACACTGTACCTGCCGGTGCACACCAATCTTGAGTACTTGGGAATGAAGCTCTCCTATGGCAAGTTTGAGGCTCAATCGGCACAACATCGAGTACATCAGGCAAATGCCACCTTCAAGCAGCTCAAGGCTCCTCTTCGTACCAATGGAGCGCTAAGTATGCAGCGTCGTGTGCGACTCTACAAAGCATGTGTTTTACCCTCCATGATGTATGGGCTTGCGAGCGTTGGATGCACCACAGAAGTTGTCAAAGTGATTGCCAGTGCGGTGGCTAGACACATGCGCAAGGTCTGCAGAATCCACGAGAAAGGTGTCTCCAATGAGCAGGTCCTTCGGAAGGCTGGCATCGACATCTATGCAGATCTGCACAAACGCATGGACTCTCAAGTCACAGCGCTCAAACTGGACACTGACAGGTCTCCGATTCTTCTACGGAACGAACTCAGGCGGGCCGAAGAACTTCATGCGCATTATCAGAGAGTACGCGAAGTAGCAGCTAGCCGATCTGACTCACACCTTCTCAAAAATGTGGCCATTGAGCTGGAGTATCCTTGTCCGGTATGTGGCATATACTTTGGCACGCAGTCGGGCCTACAACAACATGTCCATCAACGGCATCCCGAACTAGAGGTACAGGCCAGGGTGGACTTTGATCGCTCCAAGCACTGTCTCTACGGAGCCCCCATTTGCAGGTTCTGTCATCAACGATGTGGAGACTGGCAGGCGCTCCGCAAGCATTTAACCCAAGACATGTGCCCGGTGGTCAAGCAAGCGGTCGCAGAAGGGGTGACAGTGGACATGCTTCTGGAGAGAGTTGTGAAGGACGAACAAATTCATCCTCCTCCTCCTCCGGTGGCACACTGGCAGCAAGCTCAGCCTTTTGCACTACAACCACAGCCGGTTCTTACAGTGCCAAATCATCAACTGTGTCGGTATGCTGATGTCATCAAGGAGCAGTCCAATCAGTGCATGTTGTGTGGACAACGTCTTACATCAGCTGGCCACATGAAAACACATTGGCGAGTAGGTCATCCGGCGGCCTGGCGCAAGGTCTCGCACGAGTCTGAGGCACTGGCAGGCAGTCTTTCTGCAACATTCACAAAGCCGTGTAGATACTGCGGAAGCCAGGCCAAAGACACAAAAGCACACTCTCGTAAGTGTCCAAGCTTCTTTCAGATTGCGGCGGTGAGACATCTCAAACACATCGACTTTCCCGAGGTCGACTATGCTTATGTTCAAGCAGCAGCTCCTAAGCAGGACAAGGACAATCCTCAGTACAAGACATATCAAGCTCCCATACAGCGTGTACTTCAAGGCGAT